TGTATCAGTTAATGAATTATGTTATGCAATGAATATAATAATTGACGTTTTCCGAGAGTACAAATTGAATTTTCTTCCTCTATTTTCTTTTGTCTACCCTCTGTGTTTGAAGACAAGAGACCAGGAAGAGACAGAATTAATTAGAATTCACTTAACTTCAGTCTCTTCAGCAGTTTAACTTTAAACTCAAACTTTAAACATCGCAAACATATAGCGTTACGTATATAGCAACATTACCCTCGCGAATTCTAATTCCGTAGGAAAGCTCGCAAGTTATTGTTGCAACTGCATATCATTGGAATAATGCTATTATCGTACGACGAGATTATAAGCGTTATGATAAGATAAAGAGCAGTCGAAGTTTACAGGCTGGATTTATCCATTAATTTTCTTCGATTATCAGTCAGTAATACTAGTAAATGAGAGAGAGAAAAAGAGATCACGTGTTCTCGTAAAAACAATCCACTATCGTAATAAAATATCGATATCAGTATTTATATTTAGCCCTTCGCAATTTCCGATAAATCCAAAGCAATAATCCACGATGATCTGCATAATCCTCGACGTTGTTTTCGCTCAATTGCATAAGCTATTTTAACTGTGGAACTTACTCCCATGTATACAAATGCGTGACACAGAACAGCGTGAACTGAATCGCGAATTGAATTACTTCTGTCCTTACTTGATTGTCTCTGGGGGATATACCTACGTTTAGAAACTACTTTTTCTATCAAAAATCTACTTCAAGTTTCACGACAGTCAGGGGCTGTATACAATTTTCATCGATAGCCGGGCGCATTCTGTAGCATATACTTTTTACGAGGCTTCCTCTTTTTTTATTTTACGAGGCCTCCTTTTTATTTTACGACGCCACTTCTCACGAAATTCGAGAAATTGGACCAGTTCGTTTTTTCTCGCTTCGCGTTTTATTTCGTACTTGAAGCAAGATATATTTTTCGGAAAAGAACGGAGAACAACGATGAAAGGGGCAAAATGCAGAAAGTAACTAAACATATCTCACAATCAGTAATATGGCGATTCTCGCATTGTACAGTCCGCGCTCACGACGCGAAGAGACACTGGGGTTCGGAGGAATCGGCATTCCTGTATTCCGGAAAGCGTCTCGATTGCGGTACATGACCCCGATGCAGGTCGTATGACGTAATTAGGGATACAGAAACAATGCGCGGCTTTGCCACCGCCGTTCTATTAATGCCGCTTAATCTCCGATGCCAATAATTACTCTCAGTCTGAATATTATATTGCCTTGAAGCGTTGCTATATTCGCCCGGCATGAATTCAACCGGCCGCGCGCAGTTTCGTTTTAATATATCCTCATGTTTTAGTCATAAATATGACTGCCGTATGATTAATTTATCAGTTCATTTCAATTGATAGCGTAATAATGCGGTGCTTCGCAATCGCGAATCTTTTAAATTTCGATAGTGCTTAATTGAATTGCTGATTCGAGAAAGAAAGCCAGTTAATCACCTAACTAGAATTCTGCGGGAGCTAAAGGAATCATCCTTTGCTTTGTGACTTTACGCTTCACACAGAAAAAAAACTGCTTTCTCGTACGTTTATGTTGTGCTAGTTTATTCTTTTAAGCGAAAGACTAAAAAAAAAAAGAAAGAAAAAAGAGATAAATCCTTTCTTTCTATCGATGATCCAAAATTACTCTTTTATTTTCACTGTGCTTGCCTGACGAACGTGCGACGAGGGATTTTACAAAAGCGTGTAAACACGGCATTTTCAATTCGCTTATGTTTTTTTCTTCGCGCTAAAAACATAATCGCCTCGCGCGCATTCATCTACCCGGAACAATCGTGCGTCGCGCGCAATGACTGGCGACAATAACGGAATCAATAGCACATCACGTTTCAATAAATTAATACCACACGCGTTTTATTTCCGCCACTCCGCGCCGCCGCCGCCGCCGCCGCCGCGTATCTCTCCCCCTCCCTCCCGCTGTATTAAAACAACGCGATGCTGCAGGTATTTACAGCGGAACGCCAGTTCCCGAGTAATTCTTCCTAATTGCCAGGGCGGCGCAGTCTGGGATTAAAATGCACGCGGTACGTGGTGGAAATAGTTAATGCCACACTCGCGACAAATAAAAAAAAAAAGTCTCCTTCGTTCTCTTACACACGTATAGGTATATCGTCCTTTCCATTCCATGGCTTTTTTCTTTTCTCGACAGAATAATTCGTGGCATTAAAAGAGCCGTATATACCCTCCCGATAAAATTGCATTTAGTGTAAGAAAGCTTAATAAAGAAGGGACTCGGGGAAGGGGCGGGATTTAAAGAGAGCGCATATTTTAATAGCGGACTTTTTTAAGCCGTGCCTCGCCGCGGCAAGTTCCGATATTTATATCGACACGTGCATTGCGCTTATACGCGTATCACTTCCTGATAATTATACATTTAATTATAAAGTTTACATACGCCGGCGCGGCAAAATATATATTACACGAAGTCAAAAACAATGGCGCTAAGAGGGAGCGTACCCTCGTCACCGTGAATTAAAGTAAAAGGGCAAATGGTGCAGTGGGACGCACGCTGTATTAAAAAGGCCGGGGTGTCGGAAGGGGGAATGATTAATCGTCGAGCAATCTCTCCTATGCGTTCGCAAAAAAACAAAAATGAGAAAAAAAAAAGGAAAACATGCGTGGGCGAACACGAGAACAACTGATGACATGACGTGTTTACGAAATGTATCGCATGATCTTGATCCAAGGCGTTTACTCCTTGACTAATATGACACTTATTATATACAAATCCGCATACGGGATATCCGATAAAAAAATGTGTAACATCTTATCGACGGTCTCTATAATCTATTAGAAAGTCTTACTATATTAAAAAAAAAAAAAGAAATGTAATTTGATAATTAAAAGTAAAAATCCGTTTCGAACATTGAAATTCCTCTCTCTTTTCCAATTACAATATTTGTATTTAGGTACTATATAAAACTGAGAATGCGATTAAAATAGATGAAAAAAAAATTATGAAAATATTAGTCGTATGGTTAAATTTATGGCTTAAAATATTCCTTTGATATTGGAAATTCCTTTGATTTATAGATTCTCGAATTCTCTCGACGAGAGCTCCGTGAGTTTTACTTCCAGAGACTATATTTTTAAATAATTTGAATGTAGAATTAAAAATTTGCAAGCGTCAGACAAGGACTTGATAGAGGAAGATCAATTCCTTTGAGAATAAATTCTCGCAGAGTGTGCAGAATCTTTTCTAAGATATCCCGCATACGAAAACGCGAACTCGAGATGTATCGACGATCTAATATATTCCTTTGATACGTTGAATCGCGCACATCCAACTTACTGAATAAAAGGCACCTTTACGTATCGCGATACTAAATAATTTTTCGAATCCAATGATATATTCACTCGCATCATCTGAGTAAACATCATACACAGCCTTTTATCTTTACAGCGGAATCGTCAAGTCCTTAGAAAACACGTGACAGAAATGACATCTGTGACCGGTGTGACAAATGTGACTCACGTAAGATATAGTTGTGACAAAATAAAAAAAATGAAATAATAAATCTATAGAAAAAATAATCAGTAGGATTTCATAAAACAATTTTCTTATAAATAAAATAATAGCAACGTATATATTGCACCTGCACAGTTCTGTCTTAATATTCCGGTAAAGGCAAGCCTATAAGAGCGAACGTGATGAAAGGCTAATTCTATCTTTACATCAATTTTACATCTAATTATTAATTCTATAAATTTTACATTTAATTACTAATGCAACGAAATGCATTGTTTCTCGAAGCAATAGAGTAGAATAAGACACAAATAAAGAAAAAAAAAAATTTGTGAAATGTCCAGGCGTGACAAATGTTAAGAGCTTCTTCCCTCATGCTCTCGGGTAAAAAAAAAAAGTGAGGTCTAAAGCGAGGCATAACTCACTGAGTTTGAAAAGGTTGCGTCGACTGAACGCACAAACGCACAACGTTGGCATTAGCATTGACAAGATTGGCGAGTGTTATTCCGCGTATTTATGGATGCACAAGAGGTTAACGCCGCGCGGACGAAGGCCTCAATATATCCAATCAACATTGTTCTAAACGCGAGTCTTATTCCGCATGAAGCATGAATATGTCGGCGGGAGGTTACACGCTCGTGACATCTCAATATGTCTAATCAACATTGACAAACGCGAAGGCCTGGCTCCGCGTGGACGCGCGAAGAAGGTAGAGATTACATCGCGACAGACGTCTCAATATGCATAATCAACAGGAACGAGCCACAGGAATGCCCCGGGCTCTGTCTATCTCCTGTACGGGATCCGCGACCGTGTTGACCGAAATCTCAATACGTCTAATCAACATCATTCGTGACACGTTACTCTCTCCGGGATCTTAAATTATCTTATCAACACGGTAACACGTGTAAACCGCGGCGAGTATCTATAAATACCGGGGGAGAGATTGCATCACGTGTGCGAGACGCGTATCAACATATGAGGCAGGCAGCAACAACGCCGCACCGCATATCTGTAGACGTTATAAGGAAAGAGGTCGCATCTCGCGCATACGGAACACTTCGATACGCCAGTCCCGACGAGGGGAAACGCTAACGTCCGCGTGCTCGTGAACGTGCAGGTAAACGGGAGGAGATTACGTACCCTGGGGACTCGGTAGGCGAGAGACGCGCTTAATCAACGCGGACACGAGCGCTGGCTCCGTGCATCCATAAATAGGGTTAAAGAGACATCGCGTCACCTCGACGCACGCAGCTACGGCGTCAAAACGGTGTGCCGCGCATACCACTGTACACTCGCGGTACGCTCGGCGCATGAGAGAAAAAGAGAGGTTACGCATCGAAACGCTCGCGTTGCCCGGGTCGCGGCGAAGGATCACCATCGTCGTCTTCGGCGACAGCGGCGACGGTGGCGGCGGCAGCGGCGGCGCGCAGCGCGAGCGTTGGGAAATGTGTATATGTGGTGCAGGGTGGTTACTACTCACCGTGTGGCTACCATAGGGCCTAGGAAGGGTGGTATTGCTGCCGGAGGTAGGGGTAGACACGGGGGTGGCGAGCCGCTGTGCTGTCTCTGTGCGACGAAGACGATGCGTAGACATCAGGCGGCACGGGACGCACCTCGTCGACTATGCCGCTCGTCGTACACACAGGTACCGTGCCGCACGCACCACGTACACGCGCCGTCATCCGGCGACGGTGATTGTAGCAGAGGGGCGGAGGAAAGAGAATAACCCCGAGAAAACCGAAGCTCTTTCGAGGGAGAGAGAGACGACCCGGGGGGGACTCTCGCGATCTCGCGGCACACACACACGCGCACGCACGCACGTACACGGGCACCCCCGAGCGATGGCAGGAGACAGGCGGCGGTATGGGAAAAGGGAAGGGGGAGGGGAGAGCCGGGGGAAGAAAAACACTCGCCGGATTAACTTGTCACGAGGCTCCGAGAGGCGCACCAGGAAGCGTAGTACTCCAGCGACGACGGCGACGACGACGACGACGACGACGACGGCGGCGGTGGTGGTGGTGGCGGTGGAGGATTAATATGGCCGTCCCTCGGTTGACACTGGGGCTCGGATCGCGCGTAAAAGCGTGCGGCTGCAACGCTGGCAGCGGCTGCGACGGCTGCTCGGTGCGGCTGGCGCGGCGGCGAGATGGCACGGTGACGCGACGACGACGCACTTCGTTGGCGGCCTCGTAGCTCGCGTACGACGCGCACGCATTTGCTTCACTCGCGGGGAAATCACCACGCACCACCCGCGGCGATCACACGATGACTCGGCTGGAGAGCTCGAAGCGCAACGTAAAGCACACACACTCCGATGTGTATACGCGTATCCTTCCTTCACCGTCCTCCTCCTACCCTCCCGCGCACTCGTTCTCGTTCCTTCAGCTTCTCGCTCTCGCCGGGATTTTTTCTCTCCACGCGCCAGCGGCCCGGCGACGACGATCCCCTGCCGATACTCGTCACGCCGCTTCCTTCCTTCGCTCGCTGGTTTTAATCCTTCTCGAGGAAGCTCCGAGTAGCCGTGATCCCGCTCACGCTCTCTCACTCTCTCTCTTTCACTTCTTCACGTAAACGTGCGCCCGATGTTTCCGAGCTCACGTTCTCACTCGCCGCGACGGGGCACGTATACGAGTTTCGGAACACTCGTTATCTCTGTCTGTCTCTCTCTCTCCCTCTAGCTAGCTGTCTGTCCTGCCTTCGTCCTTTCTCACTCGCTCCGTCACCAGCTCTCTCTTTCTTTCTCTCTCGCGCCCGCACGTTTTTCCTCGACCGTTCCGCTGCCGACCGTCGTCGGGGAACGCCGACGGGGATGGGACACTCGGTGCAGCAGTCGCACGAAATCTTGACGGCACTTGACGGGATCAACGGGGCCACCACCTTCGCTGTGTCTCTCGTTCTCGCTCACTCTCTCCTCTAGTCCGTTCGTCGCCCGCGACGATGCTCGATGCACGACGGCACGGTCCACACGGCGCACGCGGACGTACGCACGGCACGCACGGCTATCTTCACGCTGCGCGAGGACGTGACGCGACCTCGGTGCGAACGACAACGTCAACATCACCACCGTACGCTTTCGTGGCGGCCATCTTTTTCGGGGATACAGTGGCGATACGCGAATCGCGGAACGTGAAACGCACGCGCGTACATGGGTGTTACGTGCGCGAGGGCGCTGCGCGCGCGCGAGCGAGCAAGCGGGACTGGCGCCGCCGCGCCGCGCCGCGTCGCACGGCGTTTACTCGTATCCGGCCTTGCCCTGTGTGCGTCTGTTCTGTGTGTTGCGTATCCCGTGCGAGAGACCGCAGGGGCGGGTGCCGAGCGCGAGAATCTGGTGTTTACAAAATGTCTCGTTGAATCTGTAAACAATTAAAAATAATGGGCGTGTTCAAGCCAGCTGACTGAATGGCACCTTAATGTACACGCTGAATTGTCTATATAGAGAACGATTATAGTTTTTTTTTTTTAATCGAGCATTTCTTTCGTATCTTCCACGAGAGATGCGAGAGAGAGCGAGTATCAAAATCAAATTAAATTGGAATACATTTAAAGATTTTTAGGGTAGAAATGATGGAAGTTAATTTGCGCAACGGTGCATCGAGATATACATCGCTCTTTAATAAGATTCTTATAAAGAGCGTCTCGCGAGAAGTGAGAAAATAATTCACGCTCGTAGGTATCGTTGCCGCGTCTGTGAAATTTATGTAAAAATCAAGATCGCGCACCGTCGAGATCATCATCTTCGTCGCATCCCTGATTCGACGCACACGCGGTGGGCGAACCTGTCGCGTATGTGTACACGGCCGCGGTGTGAGCAAGCACGCGATACCGGCTGGCCTGCCGTGGAAGGGGACGAAATTACGCGCACAAGCAGTACGTACGAACGGCACGAACGCTCGGCGGCCATGATGGTCCGGTCGGCGGCGGAGCGGCCGACTTTGACCGAAGGAACGCGGAACACCGACCGACGACCGCGCGTTCCGCGTTGTTCAGCCACGGGAATTGTGGCGCCACGTTCGACCGTCTCGCAAAGCCGCGACCAATGTTGTCGCCGGTAATCGCGACGCCTCACGTCGCCGAAAGCTTGTCAATGCTTGAAAATTCTCCGCGATCGCTGGAAATCGCAAAACATTAAATAAACGCGTCCAATTGAATTGTGCGAGAATTTAAAGTTTTATATATATGAGCAAATGAACTAAAAGGATTTTATCAATATATTTTACATTTCGCGCTTAGTTTATTTAGATTGTTTTATGTCGCTCTTCGATATTAAATACATTGTAAAAATAGCGTGCAAATAAAATATAAAAATATATTTTTTTATGATTTCTGAATTCTATTGATATAAATATGATCGATGTGTATATATATATATATATATATATATATATATATATATACACACATTGAAGGCTGACATTGAGACCGATGAGATTTCCATTTATCAGCAATTGGCAGACATGAATGATAAGCCAACAAGATTTTTTTTATAAATACTTGATTAATTAATTTTTCACTTTTCACGCCAAAATGTAAAAAATATTTTCTCTAAAATCATTAATTTGCAAAAAATTGCCATATTCATACATCGTGTTTTTTAACTTTTGCTATTTGCTCTTTGAAATTCGTTTTAAAATTAATTACAAAATGACAAATGTAAGCTCGCTTGTTTTATTCGTTCCATTTAGTATGCTGATTTTTTTAAATTTCAAATATGTTCTAAATTCCACGAGTATCATTTTTATGAGTGGAAATCTCTTTTCCCCTTCTCATAAACAACGAATTATGTGATAATTGTAATAACATGTAATACGTAATATACAAATTAATGGGTTAATAATACGCAATAAGTTTTCCTTGACAAAAAACAACTTCTTTAGAGCGCAAAAGTGGAGCACAGAGCGGAAAGTAAAATAGAATCATTGCTTTCAAAAGATAATTCTATTTCCATTTGATATCCTATAAAAGTAATCCCAAAAGACATTTTAATATTTCATTCTTGTGCGCTTTGTATAATAAAAGTAAAAAGATTTTTAATATACGAGAAACATCAAATACGGAATTTTCTTAAGGAATAAACTTCGTTGTGTTAGAAAAATGTTGTACAAACTTGTGCTTATAAATTTGCTCTCTTATATAAATCGCAAATATATATATGTATAAAGATATCTTTTTTTCTCCGTCAACAGACTATATATTCGTTTGCTTAGAAATAAATGCTTTTGATTGTATGTACACTCAATGTACAATAGGCGTTTCAGAGCAGAGCTTGAAATTTCGATGCTGCGGATCACATCTCGCGCATCTTGCAGCATCGGAAATTCAACTCTACCGAAATATCAGTTTCTATCGTTGTAAAGACGTCTTAAAGGGAGATGGGAATGTTTCATGTGTACTCCATCGAAATTTATGCTTTGAAAAAAATAGAATTGTTTGTAGACATATAGACTTAACTCACCGCCGGTCTAACCAGCGATCTCGCCAGCTGCGAGACTAATATTTCACAATTTCCTGCACCGCCGCGACGATGTTACGGGCACTGATGCCGTAACTGTCGAGCAATACCGCCGGCGGGCCAGAACGCGGTACATTCGGCACCGCCAGCTTCTTGACTATCACGTTCCTTTCCAAAGCGACCGCGGACTGGACCGCTTCTCCCAGGCCGCCCTCCGCATAGTGGTCTTCAACGGTGACGATCCTGCCGCCGACCTCTTTGGCATTCTTTATGACAGTCTGTGCGTCGATAGGTTTGATCGTGAACGGATCGATAACACGGACGTTGATTCCAGCCTTGGCTAACTCGTCCGCCGCCTTGATCGCCTCGTGCAACGTTACACCGGCGCCAATCACGAGCACCTGATCCTTCGCGGAAGATCTGACCACTTTGGCTTTACCGATGGCCAGCGGCTCGTCGTTCTTGTACAAGACGGCCGTGGCCGGACGAGAAGTGCGAATGAAGCAGATGCCCTTGGTGTTAGCCGCCAGTTCGACGGCCCGCTCCGTTGACACGGCGTCGCTCGGGTAGAAGACGGTAGAACCCGGGATCGCACGGAACAATGCGATGTCCTCTAGGCCCATCTGCGAGGGCCCGTCTTCGCCGATAGACACGCCGCAATGCGAACCGACGAAGTTCACATTCGTCTGAGATATCGCACCCATGCGGATCTGCGATCAGAAATCAATAATGCATTTATCTACCTCTAGCACAGAGATCAGCAATTAGACCGTATTTGGCGTTTCTAATCTTGTTCGCATTTATATATCTTTTTGTTATTTTTCGCGTGTTAGTTTTCACGATTTCAGTTTGCGCCTCACCTGATCGAAGGCACGCGTGAAGAATGTCGCGAAAGCGGACACAAACGCGACGGTACGATCTCTGCAAGCGGCACCGATGGCGACACCCACGACATTCTGTTCGGCAATGAATCCTTCGATAAATCTAGCTGGATCAATGGTTTTGATCTTCTCGGCATACGTGGAATTCTTTGTATCACCGTCCAGAGCTATGACACGAGGATTATTCTTTGCCAGCTGAAATGAAATAATTAAAATATATATTATATTATATTTATATTTTGAGAATGTGTTTATTTTGTTGAGATATACAAACGTTAAAAATATAAAAAAAAATGTACGAACCTTCGCAAGAGCCGTGCCGTAAGCTAACCTCGTAGCTACTTGTTCGCCCAGTTTGTAACTTGGAGGTGACGCCAATATAACGTTGCTGATGTCTACAATAGGAGCATCATCCACAAGTGGCTTTTGTGGATGTAATCCAAGAGGACCAGGGTTCTTCAGAAGTCCACTTAAATGCTGTAAGATTATAAATAAAAAAATGTATATATAAAAAATAAAAAATGATCATAATAAATTCTTAATGCTTACAATATTATCAATATTAATACATATATTCGGATCAATATACCTGAATAACGTCAGTCGCCTTATTGCCCAGAGGCTTGCCGTGCCAGTTTTCTAAATCTTCGATCTCAGGGAAGTTCTTGCCCTTAAAAGTCTTAGCTAAAATGGCAGTGGGACGTCCTTTTGTATTTTGCGCTTCATGGAAGGCCTGAGACAACATCATTTCTTTAACACCCATTCACTTGGACAATCGTATCGCTTATTATAGTTATTATACCTTCGCCAATTCTTCCACGTCATGGCCATCCACAACTAAGGCATTGAAACCGAAGGCCTCTAATCTTTTGCGGTACACTTCCATATTATGTTGCAGTGAAGTCGGTTCGCTTTGTCCAAGACGATTGATGTCAAAGATGGCACAAAGATTGTCTAACTTATAATAAGATGAAAAATGTAGGGCTTCCCAGATGGAACCTTCCGCCGCTTCTCCGTCACCAATCAAACAATAAACACTAAAAGATAAATTAAATGTCCGTTATTAGAGAAATTAGGGAAAAAAGAGAAAGTAGAATTTAACCATTGAAGCAAAAAAATTCAAACAATTTAAATATAAATAATATAAATGTTGAAATTCAATTCAAACAATTTAAATATAAATAATATAAATGTTGAAACAATATAAATAATTAAGTAGCATACCGGTAACTGGCTTTGTCGTAATTCTTTCCGACATAAGCCATGCCTGCGGCAACTGAAAGGCCTTGTCCTAGTGAACCGGTTCCTACGTCTACAAAATTCAGCCTCGGGGTAGGATGTCCTTCCAGATCGCTATCGAATTTTCTCAAATTCAGCAACTCGCTAGACGGGAACAGGCCTGCTTCCGCCCATGCTATAATAAAAATATAAATGTAAAATATTTCATAAAATAATTGATTATTCAAAGATATCAAAATAAATGATAAATTATAATTAATATTATTAAATGAATAACATTAAAATGTATTAAAATATTTAATTAATAATAATTTTACTGATTATATCAAATTAATTATGTTAATGAAGGACAGAAATTTATTGGCAGTAAATTTACCTGCATAAAGAATTGGAGCCGCATGGCCTTTACTGAGGACGAATCTATCACTGTTTGGATCACGTGGTGCTGATACTTTGTAACGCATTGTATGGAAGAAGAGGACGGACATAATTTCGGCCATGGACGAACATGATGTCGGATGTCTAGAGCAAAACGAAATATAAATCAATATATAATTAAATATAAATCCGAATAATTCGATTACAGTCGTTTCGGACGATAAAAAATATTTCACAAGCGATACTTTTTTTTTGCTAAATATCGGTTTACACATTGGCGATAATTCTGTTCACGTAATCGAACGATGTTTTTCTAAAATCATTTGCGGTCGTGGCAAGGTCAGAGTATCGACAGTATCAGAATATCCCATCTTCGAGTATACGCGATCCCCCTTCCCGTGAAGGGTCACAGAGGCAGCATCGCGATATCCATGAATATGATAAACATTTATTACAAAATATTATCGTCTATCATCAACTGCTATATATAATTTCATTCAAATACGCTTAAAGTAGCTTCTATTATATATATCTTCTATCATTATCTCCTATATGTCATTTTATTAAACTATAATTCAAGAATAGATAAATGCAGTTCAAGTTACTAATTATTAAACTGAAGAAAAATCGTCTTAAATTCCAGAATCTATTACTGCGCAGTAGTAATTTTACAATTTGCATAACTTATTTAATGCGGTTTAAAGATTACAGATAATGTCTGGAATTCCGTTTGGATAAGGAAAAATCTTATCCAAATGCCCGCACAGATAAAAAAATATACGTTTAGAAATACGTTTAGTAAAGTTAATTTTATAATTTACAATCTCTCGTCGTACCCGCTCTTTGATGCTTCAGTCGCTCGCACGCTCTCGATACGCAGCTTATTTGCAAGATCTTGGAGCTTTTCCATGTTCGTGGCTCGCACCATCGTGAACTGAATTACACACCGCAAGTCCTTTGAGACAGTCGACAACGAGCAACAACGAGCGTTCGATCGTGACTGCCGGCGAAGAGGAGTTTCGGCAAACGAACCGACTGCGCGCGATTATCTCCCTACCTCTTCGACTCGTCACAACGACGGCGACGGCGAGGATTGCGGCGATATATAGAGATATAGACCGTTCCGAATATATATAGGGTGTCTCGAAACATAACGTACCAATGCGAAGGACGAGCGCGCGCGCTACATTAAAGTTCGTCACTCCTTCATAATATTTCAAATTTGTTATCATCCAACTCGAGTACATGATTACTCTGATTGAAATTTTCACTTGAATTTATGCTCTTTAACAATGCCATTATAATTACACTTGCGCTTGCGTTTCTCTATCTTAATGGTTACTCCGGACTCCGGATTTTCGTGACGTGAAATTGTAAATTCTGAAAACGTCCGGAAAATCAGGATCTTATCACTTTATTTCCGCCAGTCGCACTGGCGCGTTCAGTGAAACATGTAAATGTAACTTTGTAATGTAAAGACATTACAGTGATGTTCTATAGAACGTTCGCAATACATAGCATACCTGATTTGCATACCAGCAATTCAAATGTTTGCAGATCGTATCTTACATAAGCGCATTTATGCACATCATTGTTTTTTTTTTTTAAGGAAAAAGAAATAAAGGAACTTAATAAAATTTTCATACGTTTTAAGTAAACTTTGGCTTCAAAAATATCATTTTTTCCTCTTAATTAATATTACCCTTAACAAACCTCTCACTCTTTATATCGAAATTCACATGCAGATCTTGTCTATTAATATTCATCGTTTATATTGTACACGATGAATTACTTATCAGAAAAAATCTAATACATTGCCATTATCACATTTCCTTCACACCGCGTGACCTCGGCGACTGTAAGCGCATGACTCCTTCACTTCTTACCTAGTTCTTACAGCCGTCCGCACATAAAATGAGAAATATTATGTAAAATAACAATCAATGTGAAAGGATATTAATCATCAATATCATTAGATATCCTTGCAAAACATACACAGCATATTCTTTTCATTTTCATTATAAAATGATGCTGTTTCCATATTATTGAGTTTATCATTAAAAATGTTTAAATAATATATAAATTTAATAAATATTATATATATATGTATACATATGTTGAACGTATCATAAACAATTTATTAACTATGAATGTAATGTAATGTAAATGTAAATAATAATGTAATAGATTAAATTATATCCTTCTTGAATTTTTTTTTTTAGTTTTTATAGAACAATATCGCTTCAATTGAAACAATAAATCGTTAATTCTTTTCTAACTTGAAATTATAAAAATGCTGAAAACGCGAATTATAGAGCGTGAGAACGCGCTCAATTCAAAGAAAAACTAATGACCTAGCAATTTCTTAAATTAGATCGTTGCCAAGAGACATCCAGCAGTAACAGCAGCGCGATAAAAATCATGAATAGCATGAGTGAAATTCATAATTCAGCTTATTCTAATAACGCGATGTGATCTCATACAATTGTAATAAATCGTGCGTACAAATTGCTAGGTGAATTAAAAAATGACATCTAAAAAAGAATAATGTTGCGTGCTTCGTTTTTTTTTCCATTTCGAGGCACAAATCGATAAAATTGTACTCCATTAAATTATCTATTCACGCTCCAGATACGTAACATGTAATTTACATCGATTATTACATCCTTGCTCATTACGAATGAATACGGTGATCATCTTCGCCTGATTATAAAATAGGAATCTGTATATCAAATGAATTACTTATATCGATTTGAATATTACGCTTCTATGCTCCTGTTTTCACGGAAATACATTCTATCTATCGTTCGTCTTCATTCTAGAAAACTAAAATGCCTTCCTTCAAGAGCGGATTATGTTAAATGAAGTCAACGATATCGCGCGGAAATCGTACGACCGCGTTAGAACGCTGAATCGGCATTTTTACGGTTGCGACTCGCACAGCTCTGGTGTGCCGCATTACAATTTGTATCAATTATTTATTGATAGCCGCGTTTTACATTTACATAGGGCATGACTGGCGCGACGATCTTATCAGGAAATGGCGCGAATCTGTCGGGTCGTAGATACATGTCAAGGTACGTAGATACTCGGGCCGTAGATACTCCTTAATTAGTATCATCAAGAGACGTAGCGTTTCGCGCCAAGTAGTATATTTTTCATTCTTATACATCATTAAGCGCATATTAAATACGCGTGACTGAATGATCACGTACGTGTCTCAAGCTCTTTACTTAATTATATCCTCCACCGGCAATTTTTCAACTCCTCTCCCCCTCCTTCACCTCCTGCCCCCTCCTCGTCGCGAGAACGATAAGTTTGTGCCGTTTTAAACGCATGGAAGGCACAACGTATAATAAACTAATAACGCAAACGACATCTCAACGGTCGCCTCTCGATCGATTCACGCGGGAATTTCCGAACCTGTGCGGTGGTTCGGTTACATCACTAGACTCGTAACGCGTAACAACAGCGCGCGGCCACGCGCGTTTTCGCGTTATCATCGTCATCCGGCGGACCGCCGACGGCGACGTGCCGCCCCGCGTTCGCGTTCGGTGGTGTTCATCCCGGTCGCAGGACCACCGGGACGACCGTGTGCTCCGCTTATCGTCGCCGGGCCGGTTAATCAGGCGGATTGGCGAACTCACCCGGACTTACTGGCCTGTGTCGCCTCGACTGCGTGGATCCTCAGCTTGTTCGCGATGTCCCGCAGCTCCTGGATGGTCTTCGACTCCGGCTTGTGATAGTTCGCCATGTTTCGTGTCCGCGTGCGTTGCGTACGTGCGTCCTGCGTGTCTACGGTGAGTACGGCTTCGTTGAACGGCGTCCGTGCGTGGGTCCCCCGCGGCTTTTCCGACGTTCGTCGACGGTACCCGTAAACGTGCAGCGAGCTGCGAGTGTGCGCACGCGAACGTCGCGAGCGCGCAACAAGTACGTAGATTCGCGGGAGCGCGAGGACGCTCGAAGATGGCCGAGCGCGGCCGAGCGCGATCAATTCGGCGACCATAGAAATAACAACGATCGGTAGAACGGAGAGCCGCATGCGATTAGTCGGTAATGTCGGTAACGTCGTTTTGTATTTAAAGGTCTGTTCTTTATAGCCGTAATCACGTATGCAATGTATACGTATTGCATGTTATCCACTATAGCGATTGAGATCGAGATTAGATTGGGATTTAATCAATCAAATCCAAAATTTACTGAACTTAATATTAATTATTTGTCTTCTGATTGGTCAAATTTCAGTCCAATTTTAATCTCAATCGCTAGTGTGATTACGGCTTAATTAATTAAGTCTTATATCGATCTCAGTATCCGTCACTATAAATTAGCACTGCAGTTTCGTCTTTTTCCATAGAGTAACAACTTCCTTTTCATAATTAACTAATTTCCTGCCACTCTGTTTCTCAGATTGTCAGCTGTAATCTATACTGATGTTATTCTTAAAGTTGTAATGTTTAAAGTGTAGTAAATGCTTTAATGACAGTAACATTGATAAAGAAACATTAATTGCGTAACATTTTTCGCAGTTTCACGTCTAAAAACAAGAGCGTTATTGTTGCGCTTTATTCGTTTTTTATTGTTATTGACTTTAAATTTCGTGCACTTTACTGCACCGGAAAGTAATTAAAGCGCATGCGCGTATAGAGCACTCGCGTCTACGTTTCAATTTCATCGCTATGACAGATTTTCTAACCTCACTTTAACAGTCGTAAACATTGATATCTCGCTTCCCGGTGCTGAGCGACGCTTTAACTGAAATTTTTCATTTTATGGAAAAAACGCGTCAAATAAGTACATATTTGAATGATTTTTTGAGGTGACGTGTGCTAAACTAAATAATTACCAAAGACGTGAATATTAATTAAATACCTAGAACATTTTAATTAATTGAATAAAAGAGTACTTACAACGTTAGCATTAAATGAATCAGAATTGTTAATTTTTTTACATCCTCGATAATTGCGTTGTTAAAATATTAAAGAAAAAATGTTAAAGAATTTATAAAGGTGTAGAACTTAATGCGTAAATATCTTTATGCTTGTTTAATATTTTTTGATTTTTGAACTTAACCGTACCTTATAGTAACACAAATTTTTGGGGTTATTGTATATGTTGATATTAATTCTTAATATTTAATCACACAATAGTTTAAATTATGAAATTATAAAAAAATTAATATATCAGCATTTAAATAAAAACCTTACCTTTTATATAGCATGTGATCTCTATATGTTTTTATTTATTCTTTACGTTTACTTCTCCTAATTAATTCACTAATTAAATTAATTTTAATTCTACTATTACACTTCTACTTACTTTTAATTTTAATCTTACTATAATTGTTTACTTTGTGTTATTTCTAGGAGGGACAATGAAAAAGACTGCCTGCACGCACGAACCTGCGTATCAAGGATACTTTGTAGGTCACAAAAATGTAATTACAGCTTTAAGCTTTCATCCAAATGCCGATCAACTCATATCGAGTAATCTGGACAACACAGTAATGTTGTGGCGGTTGAAAAATTTGATGCCAGCCTACAAGTTCATGGCCCACAAAGATGCCGTACTGGACGTGTGCTACTCACCAAACGGAGACGTTATGGCCAGTTGTTCAAAAGACAGATCCGTGAGAATTTGGATTCCCAAAGTTAAAGGGCATTCGTTTGACTTTAGAGCTCACAGCTCTGCCGTGAGATCGGTACAGTTTAGTCCCTATGGGGAGAAGGTAATTCTTGCACGTTTAGTTAATTATTAATTACATTTTGTCACAGATCATGCCACAGACGATTTTATACAATTGTTTATCGATACTTTTAGTTGGTTACCGCATCGAATGACAAAAGTATTAAGCTATGGATGCCATACGAAAGAAGATTCCTCAAGACTTTTAGCGGGCATACGTATTGGGTGAGGTGCGCTAAATTTTCTCCGGACGGTAAACTCTTGGTGTCGTGCAGCGACGACAAAACGATAAAAGTGTGGGACATTACCAGCGGACAATGTGTCAAAAATTTTAACCAGATAAAAGGTTTGTCGAGCGCATCGTAACGTCGTATTTCAGAAACCTGGAGTAAAATTTTATCTCTGTAAAATCTCTAATCTTTGTATTAGCTTCCGCTAAATATGTGGAGTTTCATCCAAGCGGCGCAACTATTGGATCAGCACACAGGGATGGTTGTGTTAAATTGTACGATCTGAGAACAGACTCTTTGTGTCAGCACTACACTGCTCACAAAGGAGAAGTGAATATGATCAAGTTCCAGCCAAATGGAAACTTCATATTGACAGCTTCTAACGACTCTACAATGAAGGTAGTTTAAGACTTTGATTTCACGTAGCGTAATTATCACCGTATTTGCTGACAAGATGTATCGATTAGATTTTAGATCTCTTGGAAGGCCGTCAAATTTATATTCTCAAGGGCCATGATGGGGCTGTAACATCCATAGCATTTTCAAAAGATGGCAAGCTTTTCGCTTCTGGCGGCACGGACCAACGAATTCTAATGTGGAAGTCTAATAATTCGTGTTCGAATGTCCGAACCAGTAAGATTTCACCAGTAAGATTCCAGCGAATGCCTGGCGTTTCTATCAAACAGAGACTTGATGCGGATGAAAAATTGAATAGTGACGAACATGAAGAAGACATACACGAGAAGCAGGATCAAGAGAAAGTAATAACTTATGCAAATAATTTCTTAAGCTGTAGAAAGTAACAGTTATCATTTTTTATATAAAAAAAAACGTACAGCTAGATTGCATGTCAGAGACTATAAATTTTATGAAATGTATCATTTTTTCAGTATTTATCAGATACATTAGAAAAATCGTATCAGGAATCAGATAGAAGTCCAGAACTGCCAATGAGAAGGATGAAACCTGACGTGATCAACATGAACATTAAATCTTCCGGGAAAGACTGTGTGACGAACGTGCTAGTCTCGCAAGATCAGACATCGTCCGATGCATTTTCGTCTAATAAGAAAACATCTGTGAAGACAGTAGAAATACTCTGTGATCAAGTACAATCGTTACATCATACCGTTAATGTGCTAGAACGACGTTTTACAATATTAGAAGAGATGCTTAGCAGATTAACTTCTTCAAGTGTTAACTCGTAAACGTTAATCGCTTGGAATAATATGTATATATGTACAATATTGATTGAAACTGGTTGATTTTTCAAATAGTATTTTGATTGAATAGTTTTATAATGCATATTAAATTACGAAATTCAGGAAAATTTGCTAACAGCTATTATTTCAATGCTTTATCTTACAAATATAAAGAGAGAATGTATCTCGTGTTACATTATAGTAAATTGAAAAAACTAATTTGTAATATGCAAGCTGCTTATGATAATAGAAGATATTTTATTATATGTGATCTCAAATATACTATTTTTGTATACATATATACAAGTGATCTTAAATATACTATTTTTATACATATGAATAAATAATTAAAGTATAATTTTATAAAAGTACAATACCCTATATCTTTATATCATATTTAGCAGCATCTGTGCATTACGATTATATCATATAATTCATTTCTTTTAATGTGTCTCTGAAAACTGAAAAGTTTTTCCTATTTTCTTAATTATTCCTAATCTTATTCGAACCGAACGCAATGATCATGAGAATAAGTCTTCCCCGGAAAATCAATCTTGATGTCAAAAATACCTATTACAGTAAATAATGAGATACTTTAAACATAGATCATAACGTACATCTTTTTTTAATTTCAATAATTTGAAATATGCCAAAATGAGTTAATAGATGACATCAGAAAATAAAGTTTTAATTGAATAAAATTATCGTTAGAATTAAAAGTAAATTCGCGTACACGAATAATCGCGCTATTTTGTGGTAGAAAATTATTCCTGTCACTTCCGAAATTTGTGTCCTTTGAAATTTGATTTGATCAGCGTGGTTGTTGACATCTGTTTGAAATAAATAAGTCTATCGAACTATTCTTGAGAAGTGACAGTCGTCAAAGTCATATAACGTTCGGACGCATTGCATGAACGTGTTCCATATATTTTCCATAAGTAAAATAATACCGTTATAAATAGTCTATATCTTTGCGCACGAATAATTTGTATAATTAAGAGATAGGAGTGAAAAAGAAATATTCGTTAAATATAAGGTAATTATATATAAATTGAATAAAACATACAATATTCACATTAAACGAAGTATTGTTAGTTTTTACGTTTCCGCGATAATTGCATTGTTCGTATAAAATTCTAAAGAATTCATAATGATATAGTACTTTCGTCATATTTTCACGTTTGTTTAATATTTTTTTAATTTGTATCGCACGAATAATACGAATTTTTGGAGTTATATATATTATTGGACTAACTCTTAATATTTACTTGTAATATAATTCTATCAAAAATGATATCAATTTACATCAAAACTTTACTTTTCACTGTTTATCACGTGTGATCTTGCTTTTCATATTTTTAATTATTTATTTTGTGAATTATTTTATTATGCCAGAACAATGGAAAACAAGACTGCCTGCAAGTTTAAGCATCACGTCAGTTTGTCAGCACTGGTGACAATTTTTCTTAGAATTCTTCATAAGTTATAATTTTAAGTAGTTATTTTAAGTAGTTATAATTTTTTAGAATTTTTCAGAATTTTTGTTATAACTCTTTTAGAAAATTTCTCAGATTTTTTTTATACAAATTGAAATACTTTAAGTGAAAAACAGAAGAAAATCTACATCTGTTTTTAGAATTTTTTTATATATGTTAAATATTCTGAAATATTCTAAGCTTTTTCGCGTTCTTTAATTTCTGAAGAAAACTTATAACATCTGAGACGAAGTTTAAGATAATTTTTCAGAAATCTTCGCAAACTTAAAATATGACCAAATCCTTAAAAATATGTGAGATATTATTAGAATGTTTTTCGTCAGGAACCTCACGATGATGCCATTACAGCTTTAAGCTTTCATCCGAAAGCTGATCATCTCGCATCAGGTAGCTTGGATACAACTGTAAAATTGTGGAAATTCAACCCTTGTAGTCTACCTAAAAAGTTTACAGCCCACGAAAGCGGTATCGCGGATGTATGCCATTCAGATGAGCTTATAGCCAGTGCTTCAGAAGATGGATATGTCAGAGTTTGGGTTCCTAAGCTTAAGAAACATTCGTTATTCTTTGGATTTCACGAGTCTGCCGTGAGATCGGTACACTTTAGTCCATGTGGAGAAAAGGTAAGTAGACATTTTCATTTAATTATTAACCATTTTGTCACAGATCTTGCCATGCAGGCGATTTACATAATTGTTCATCGTTTAGTTGGTTACCGCATCGGATGACAAAAGTATTAATCTGTGGTCACCAAATAACATGACAATCCTCGGCAGATTTAATGAGCACTCACATGGGGTGAGGTGCGCTAAATTTTCTCCGAATGGTAAACTGTTGATATCGTGTAGCGACGACAAAACGACAAAATTGTGGGACATTACTAGCGGGAAATGTGTCCAAACTTTTTCTAGTCAGAAAATTGTTATGAGAACAGGTTCATCATCAGAAGGTTTGCCAAGCTCGTAACTTTATCTTAATTTTATCTTTTAGAATAAAAATCTTGAACTTAAATAAAATTTTTCTATGCTAGTTTGCCCTAGATATGTAGAATTTCATCCAAATGGCACAACTGTTGCATCAGGACACGAGGATGGATGTGTTTTTTTGTTTGATTTAAGAGCAAACTCTTTACTTCAGTATTATATTGTTCATACGGGAGACGTGAACATGATCAAATTCCATCCAAATAGAAACATCTTGTTGACAGCTGCTGACGACTCTACAATGAAGGTAATTTAAAACCTCAATTTCATGTAGCAATTTCAATAAATTATTATCATATTTACTGATAACAAAAAGTATCGATTAGATTTTAGATCTCTTGGAAGGCCGTGAAATTTCTACTCTCCACGGCCATAATGGGGCCGTAACATGCATAGCATTTTCAAACGATGGCATGCTTTTAGCTTCTGGTAGCACAGATCAACGTGTTCTACTGTGGAGATTTAACAATTTATATATGGATCCCCAATTCAATTCGACTCTACAGTTAATGTCCAGCCTTTTGCCTATCGAACGTGACATTGTGGATGCAAACTCAAACAGCGACGAACAACAAAAGGAAAATATATAAAAGAAAGTAATAACTTGATACGCAAGTATACTCTATTAAACTATAGAAATTAACGCTTGCATTTAAAAAAAAACAATGCTACTAGATCATATCAGGAACTGTTAATTATATAAGATATATCATTTTAGTGGTTATCACAACAAATAAAAGTTGGATTTAAAACACCAAACTATTAATGTTTAACATGAAACCTGAAGTGGAGAAATGGAATATCGACGAAGTCGACTCTCGAGCAAATTGTGTCAAAGCAAACATGCCAGTTCCACAAGATCGAACATCGCGCGATGTGACACCGTACTTCAGATTTAATCAATCTGAAGTAGAGACACTCTTGAATGAACTTTTAGTTCAGTTATCATAATTAGAAAACAGTTAATACCATAAAAAAAAACCGACAATACAAGCTGTGCTGCCCGATGTCTTGGAATAATATGTATATGCAATATTTAACTGATTAATTTTCCAAACAGAATTTAAATTTAATATTTTTATAATGCATGTTATAAAATGCGAAGAAATTTGCTGACAATTATTATTTCGATTTTCGATGCTTTATTATACATATGTTATACACGGTTGTGGGAATGTTACTTTAAAAAAATAACGCGTTACAGTTACTTGAATCGTTACTTTTTTGTAATTCTAAAGTTTAATTACATTGTAAATTTATATTATTCAATAATTATTGTTAAATGTAATAAATATTAACACGTGAACATTTTAAATTGACCAGTTTAAGGTCTGTATATGGACCAAGTTTTTCTTTGTATTACATATTTTTATAAAAAAGTTCAATTTATTGTTTTTGAACGTTAATATTATTATTAAGAGTACATTCTAATATTCACTATTAATACTGCAAATCTACAGTATGTATGTAATTTGAATTATAAATCTTCAATGTTTGATAGTGACTACCAGAAAAAAGTCCAAGATTCAGAGACAAAATATTTCAAAAAATAAATCAAATATCTATTATAAAAAAAGAAAACAAAGTAACGATAAAAGTTACAAAAAACGGAAACAGCGTTACAAGTCACGCATTATTTTCCAACTGATAGAAATATAAAAAATCAACGTGTATCTCGCATTACAGTAAATTCCAAAAAATATAAACTTGTAAACCGCTTAGGACGATAGAAGATATTTTAATATCTATAATCTTAAATATTTTTGTACTTTTGTATGTATCAATAAGCAATAAAGTGTATAATTTTCCTTTTTCATAGAAAAGATGCAACGTAAAAAATACCTCTGTTGCAATGTATGTTTAACATATTTAGCAGCACCTGTGTTATAATCACATCACGTAAATCACTCATTTCCTTTAATGAGTCCCTACAAACTTGCAAGTTTTTCCTGTTTTCTTGATCGTTTCTAAAACCTCAGTTGAGCCAAGGGTAGTGATCACGAATACCTTCTTGTTCGGCAAATCTATCTTGATGTCGTCGACACCTACAGCAAGGTATAATGTGTCAGAGATACTTTAAACATATGTATATATATATCATAACATACATGTGTAATTTTTCTTCATTGAAATTATATAATTGTATCTATGTTTGACAGTTCCACTTCCTTATATAGAATATATATATATTTAATCTTGTATAGAATATATATATATTTAATCTCATTTCACACGTTTCGTTAAGTTTACGTTTACCAATTGAGGTTACGTTTTCGTTAAGGTTATGTTTTCAGCAAAAAAGTATGTAACACCTTTGAAAGACGCGTCAATAGGATATTATTTACAGAACACGGAAATACGGAGAAGTATACGGAAATACTTTTCTTTTGTTTGCGTCCGCGTAATCGTAATCGACCGTTCTCACCTTTTTTCTTGAGTACGTTCTGCACGGCGTTCGAGCATCCTTCGCACGTCATTTCGACGCTGAATTCGTGTACCTTGCGAACAGATCAACTCGTCTCAAACATTCGTCTGACCCGTGTAAATTTGCATGAGATCGGAATATATTTTGTTGTTACCTGAGCTGCCATGATAAGGTTTATAGACGTCCCCGAGATCCGTGCGACGTGTCAAGCAATGCGGTTATTTGCCAAGTCAGATGATCAAGTATAGGATAACGTTAAAAATGTGCACACGACAGAAGCCTTATCTGCATCGTTATTAAAAAGATAACATACATATATATCGTATATTGATTGTTTCTGTGAGTATTTTAAACTGCAGTGTTTGTCAAAACAGACGTCAGACTCTCATGCCCGATAAAAACAATCCCGAGAGGACCTGCGAGCGAATGTCTGATTTACAATCTGTCAATACATTTAGCGCAAATATTATGACACATTAATTTTGCGTACGATAATAAGTTTGAAGAAAGCAATATTCGTTTTGAAAAATAGAATTTTTTTGTGTCCATTTGCACCAATGTGTAGATTAAAACTTTAATCTCGGTTAAACTTTTTATTTGTTTCTATATAGTTCTGAGAATTAAAAGAAGATAAAAAACAAGTTTAACCGAGATTAAAGTTAATCTACATTTTTTTAAGAAACAGATATTGAGTTTCACATTCGTTTTGAGTTTCGTTAATATTCAAAAATTATAATGCTTGTTAAATTTTCAAAACAATTTATGACGTTATGATTGTTAAAAATTATATTCAGGGAATCTTTATCAGAAGGGCTACTTATGTACTTTTGTGTACATCTAAATTTCAGATTTTACTTTACTTTGCATAGGTACACACTTTGCCCCTTATTATATTACAGATGAGAATAGAGTTTAAAAGTCAAACCTTTTCATTTTTTAAATAAAAAAAAAACAAACAAAAATATTTCTGAGTAAATTTTAATAACGTAAATATACTTTTATGAAGATTAAATAATCAACGGCTATAAATTTTCTATATATAAAAGACTGTCACCCTCCCAATAATTCCTCCAGTCTAACAAATACTTAAGTGATGTAAATAGAATAATTTGCATGATATTTGTCGGTAATTGAAAAGTAATATTAGAAAACTCTCAGGGGATTCAGTTTTTATTTTCATCCTTGCATCTTGACATAAGGTAGAAAAGTATTACGATCGAATGTCTAATAGTTGTCAAACCTCTGTATACCTCAGGACTGTCTTTTCTTCGACTGTGCGGCTACGCGAGGAACAAGCTTACATCCTACTTACAGCATGGTTTTACGAGCGTCTCGGCTAAAGGATGAACTTTGCGATACAGATATTTTTTTTTCCAGATCGACTATAATTATCCTACAATTTTCCTCTCTCTCTCTCTCTCTCTCCGTCTTTGGGACCGCGATGGAAATTCTATTCCTACAACTTTCGATGGCGAGTGTAAGCGAGTGAAATGTACAAATATGTCTGATAAATTTGTCCCTGTTGCTTTGCCTCTACGCCTTCTCACGAGTAAGAACATAGACATGGCACGGACGGCGACGGGATTTATTGGATGCCTTGTGCGAATGAGAGATCTTATCACAGTAATCAGTTCGGCTGTGTGTACTGAGAGAAATACCTGCTCTGCTACGTTTCACAAATCGGACACTCCGTCGATCTTCCGTCATACGTGTTTACTCCACTCATCCATACACATTTGTCTATAATCTAAATTTTGCACACTCAGTCATATTGCTCTATGGTGTTAGTGATAATCCTTAGTCGTTACACAATTTGTTAATACACCTCTTCGATACGCTTATCGAATACGATTTCCGCGGGGATACATATGAGACCATACTTACTGTAGCTCGAAACACTTTATCCTTTCCGTTCATCCCGGATGATAACGCAGCTGTATCCTCCCCTTCCTGTTATTCGTCCGACAAACGGAGAAATTTCTATGCTGACTTTTTTACGCTGACGAGGACCTGAGCGGGGACGGCGGCGGGGGTAATTTATAAATATCGCAGCTCGTTTTACGCGTTTATCGACGGCTATAGGGGCACGTCTGTTACATTTATTCGCCCTGCGGAAGCATCGGGATTAGCGACAATGCGGCTGAAAAATGCAAATTTTGTATTAAAAAAAAAATTGTATCCGGAACGACAAGCGGCATTTTTAATTAGTAATTTAGCTTTAGCTTTCTGACGCACTTCGTCAAAAGCGTTCGGGATGAATCACCGAGTGGACACAAATGGGAATTGCAATATACTGGCAGTCCGTAATTTCGTAGACTGTCATTCCCCAATTACACACATATGTCTTTACGCACAATTGTTACGTGTATTAATTAAGCGGTGTAACGAGACTCGGGACCCTTCCGTTAAAATATACCCGTTCTCTCAGTAAAAATATACGAGGGGACTATTTAAGTTCGGCCTCGACGAAAAAGACGAGTCACAGATACATGCAAACCTGCGAAAGGGCGCTCCCGCCCGACTGGAATGGACTGCGTGACATATCTCATTTAGGGGGTGGCGGGGGGCGGGGGGGGGGAGTAAATTTGAGCACACGACGTTATGAAATAATCATTGCTAACTGAGACTCGTTTTTGCTGATAGTCTATTCTATTTTCTTATTATTTCGATGTAAATGCGATGCAAACACGTTGCTGATAAATCATAAAAGTATAATGTCGAATGCTGTACGCAAGAGTCAATGTGATTAGGAAGATAGTTATACCAAAAAGAACAAAAAAAAAATGCAATTCTTTTGTACTAAGTAAAAGAGAGATGCGCTTCGTCACAAAAACAACAGTGGTTTATGGCATGACGCAATTCTGGAGATAAAAACTGAGCTTCGATTGCTTCATCGTGTCGTTTCACGCTCAGTCCGTCGGACTGACTGGATTGTAGCCTGATGGCGGATTAGCGTGAATCCAGCGTCAGAGGAAACTGTAAGTGTTCTGAACCGCTCTGCTGGTGGACGAAGCCGAGCTCTGTTGCTCCGCAACGGCGGCGCCCTGTTGCTCTAGTCTCTCCAACGATTCCATGTGCGTTCTTATAGAACCGCCATAAGTGCGTACCTATTTTATTAACATCTCATTAAGCACGCGTACGTATTTCTTAATCTTGCTTTATCTTATCTCACAAGTTTCTCTTAAAGTTTCTGGATTTTAGAAATAAAGCATACGTATGTCAGCTCATGTTAGAAAAAAGGCTCGTCAATATTTCAGAGAATGAAATTAAGCTACAGTACGAAAGAAAATAATGCTGAATGTAACAGATTTGTTTCATTGCGCTGTAAAGGATATAAGCAATTGACAAATGCAAATATCCATAGCACAAAATGGATGTTTCGAATACGCATTTAATTTAAATTTACAATAACTACAAAGTTACATGATCGAAATATTATTAATATGAACAATAGAATTATAAGTCTTAAATTAATCATAAATAATAATAAATCATAAGAAATACTGACGAAAATTTTTCTAACACTTGCGAAAATGTTAAGCAAACAGGATATTTCGTTCAAAATATTATTTTATCCATTTAATAATGTTTTTTTTTAATAGCTTCCTTATATAAATGTCGCAAGCGATTTAATTTTTAAATTATCAGAGTGCTAATTGGATTTCTGAACGCTCCTTTATTGCTTGAGGTAAAGTTTAAAGAAACAAAAATCTCTTACAATATGTAATTTAATAAAGCGTACCAGAAATTTCAAGAAAAAGCTTTTACTAAAAGCGAGCTCCTTGCCCCACGGTCATGTTTCTCTGAATGCTATAATCTCACACATTTATATCATTACAAACTTTTCACAAGAATTTCATCACACGGTAATAATTTTGTATATTTAAGCGAATGATATACAAATTTGATCAAATAATCATTTACAAAATAATAAATAAATAAAGGGGGTGTAAGAGTGCGCTGTAACATAATGTACCTTGAATATGAGAAAATTAGAAAAAATGTGAACATAAGAAATTTTTAAATAATACATTATTTGCTCTTTTTCGGATGTATGTATATATATTTTTTTTTTGAACATATATTAAATAAATTATATAACACAAATATCGGATTTTGTCATAAAAAGAACACAAATAGGGGTGCGTTGCATTTAAACTTTGTATATCAATCCATATGAATTTCCATCAAGTTTCCAGCGAGTTTGCGCAAATGCAGACACCGATTAAATCTGTCCTGTATCATCGACCATACGATAAATATGGGCGCTTTAGCTGGTTTATACTACTCACTGTCTGTAGATTAGACTTCAGACTGTGGGTGTTGGCCACTCGCGCTCACACAAGAGGAGTTAGACTTCCACTGCAGACTCTTACTTCTCTGGGCTCCAGAACTGCCGGAGGTCTCCTCTCTTGCGACGACTGTTGTTGTTGCACATTCGAGCTACCCGCCACGTTATGGTGTCCTGGCCGCGACGCGTGGTTCGCCGCCACTACGTACTCGGTTAACGTAACATCCGCGGTCCCGCCGGACTCGAGTGGTATCGCGTTCTGGCGAAAGTGTTCAAGCATATCGTATATCGCAGGAAAGCATAGATGTTGGACTCGGCAATGACCTTGATCATTTAGCGTCATCCGTAAATGCTGCAATGAAAACAAACACGTATATTAAAAAAACTGTTTGAACGTTGATTCGTCGTTAAATATTGAGGATAATGTCTGCAGTTACTTTTGCTCTTCCTTGGAAATTAAAGGTTAACACAAATTCGCCTTTCCTGGTCTCACTTTGCCGGACCAGGAACACACCGTGGCCATTAGCCGCGCTGTGTAATACAAGCTGCGCGGCATCCGAGCGAGGAAGGGTGCCATGAAACCATGGATATTCTCGTAAGCTACTCGACAAATCCAGCTCACCTTCGTTAGCGGACACTGCAAACAAATGTATAATTTTTTTACCTGCTCCGAACCTGTACTTGCCTTACCTTACTATCGTAATTTGAATTTGGTGTCTTCCTTACTTTGTTCGATTTCTTGCTGAGAGGAACATAACTCTAGATTACTACTGCTGCGCATGTGGAGTCTCGGAGGTAATTCCGGCGGATTGGAATAGTCATGCTCATGACTAGCGGAACGGAAGCTCTTGCTCGCCGAGTTGGCTCGCAGTCGATCACTGTCGGATCCGGCGGCCAGCGAGCCGTGGCCCAGGGAATCACCCAGGGAATCACCCGGCCCGGAGCCGGGCACGCTCGAGCTCTGCTGCACCGTCCGCATGCAGTATCTGATCGTCGCCAGCCACGACTTCATGTCGTTCGAGTCGTGCGCCTCGATGACGAACTCCATGTTCTGGGTCTTCAGGACGAACGTGTTCTCGTGATCCGGCATCTCGAGCGCCGTGGTCTCCCTCGCCTCCGTGATCGCCGAGCAGAAGACGCCGCTACGCGGCTTCACAGCCTTCGGCGGCGAGTAGAACTCCAGCATGTAGCCACCGATGGCCTTTATCAGAGCCAGCCGTGACTTCTCCCATTTCTGCGTCCCGTCTATGTTCTCCCCCATTAAGGAATTGACGATCCCCTCCTTACGACACTCCACCACGATCTTCGACAGCTTCGCCTTGGAGTGCTTGTCCTTGCGGTGCTCGCTGTGGGACAACTCGACCTCGTCGCTCTGTTGCTTGTGGAAGAAACTCTTGCCCTTTTTGAGCCCCTTAAAGGATAATCTGCGGAAGAAGGGTTTGTGGGTGGGCTTCGGCGACACTGCCTCTCCCTCATGCTCGGAATAGTCGCTGAATTCTTCGTGCGAGGACGCACGGACCGGTGCATTAGCATTTTGGCTCGCGACGTTTACGTCTTTTTCATTGGATGCTGCGCTCTTAGTGTCGTGCAACGATAGCGATCTAAAAAAATACAAAAAAATACGAGAGCCAACGTTATTATATGGATAACTTAAACTTCAAATATTTCAAATAATTCAAAAAAATAATTCATAAAATAAAATGTACACATTCTTATGATGCAAACAATAACAATAAATCATTCCTTGCGTAAAATAAGAACTGTAAATTTAAACTTCTAGATTTTTATCTTCTTATATGAATATTATTAAAATATTTCATATTTTATATATTTCATTGAACAATCTATTTGCAAGCTCTAATTTCTTATTCGAAATTGTTCCGAATGAAAGTTGCAATGTGCACGAAACTCAAGTCCCCCCCCCCCTCCCGCGGCAACGTTTGTCAGTCGGGGGGCGATTACTCCAATGTTTACTTCCTGACGTACGAAAGGTTAATGGTCACTAAACGGATTCTACAGCGAACGGTGCGGCGACGGCCGCGTAAAGAAAAAAAAAGGGCCGCGCTCGCAACACACACGCACCTCACGCTCTGGCGCAGATACTCGCTCTCGAAGTGCTCGCAGAAGCTCTCGACGAACTTGCGGAGGAAGTCGCGGTGCGAGAGGTTGGCGCGGGCGCTCTCGGGCAGATTCAGGCTAACGTAGGTGCAGAACGCCTTGGCGAAGTCGGAGGCCGAGGCGCGGGCGTGTCTCTCGCAGAACTCGATCCAGCCGGTCGCTGCTTCCGGCGACGCGGCGGTCGTCGCCGTGGACGACGTGGCCGTCGCCGTAACCGGTGCCGTCGCCGCTGTCGTCGTCGTCGTCGTCGTCGTCGCTGTTGCCACCGTTGCCACCGCCGCCGCCGCCGCCGCCGCCGCCGCTGCCGCCGTCGTCGTCGTCGTCGTCGTCGTCGTCGTCGTCGTCGTTGTCGTCGTCGTAGCCTCCGTAGCTATCGTCGTCGTCGTTGTCGGCGTCGTCGTTGTCGTCGACGCAGCAGTCGGCGGCGACGTCGTCGTCGTCGTCGTCGTCGTCGTCGTCGGCCTCGTCGCCGTCGACGCCGTTGTTGCCGTTGTATTAATCGCCGGCGATATCGCGGTGCTCGCTGTCGGCGTGCTCGCGGCGTAAACACTCATTACCGGCGTCTGGCTCGCGTAGGGGGCGGAAGATCTCCCCCCCTTGTGCCGCCACCGCCGCCGCCACCACCACCACCGCCGCCGTCGTCGTCGCCACCACCCGTCGCCCTCCACTCTCGACCCACCGCTGCCGCCGTCGCTCTGCTCCGGCGATCCCCTTCACGAACGTCGCCGCCGTTGAGGGTGGATACGAGCGCGCGCGACAGACATATCACACCCCGCGCGTCACGTCGTACGCGCGCTCGCCGTAAAACTAATCACTGCTGCTGAATGGCCACAGTCGAGTAACACACACGAACACGCACATATGCATACATATATATGTGTATTTATATACACGCACACACTGCGGATTCTGTTAAAAGAAGGGGGAAGAGCAGACACGGTAAAAAGCGAGTATATCAACGGGAGAGGACGTTGATACGATCCTGGCGTGTGGGAAGCTCGTCGGGTTCCGACTTGAATAATACCCACGCGATGAATTCGCTATATATACTATATATACTTATATTCCCCGTTAATTCATTCGCATCGTACCGCGAGGGGGAAGGGAGAGAGCCGAATTAATCGACGCTGAGGCTCCGAAGCGAGTCCGGGGAGTCCAAAGGGGAGTCTTTCGCTCCTCGTTAACTTCACACTCTCGTCTACCTGCGACGATCTCTCTTTTCTTTTCCCCCTCTCTCACTCTCTCTCTCTCTCTATATATCCCTCTCGTCCGTACCTCCCGCTGCCGGGTGAACGATAGTGATCATCGGCGACTTCGTTGTGCTCTCCGCGCCGATCTTATCGAAGCGCGCGTGCCAAAGTCAATTAAGGACCCGCACGCGTGATACTCGCGCGTTCGTACCGTCGTCGTCGCCTCGCCACCGAGATATTTACGGGCATTACGAGGCACACGCGCGAAATGCGTGATACGCGCGACTCGCTAATGCCACTGGCGCACTCTGCTCATCTTCCTCTCCTTCTCTCTCTCTCTCTCTCTTCCTCTTTGGCTCTATCTCTCTCGGTCTTGTCGCGCGTAGAGGTTAGGCAGTCGCGTGGCCCGCTCTCTCGCACATGGAAATTCGCATTTAGGTTTCCTCCTCGTCAGAACGGTGCGTGCATATATGTGCTCGTATTTCTGCCTGTTAAAAATTATTTTGTCAAATACTCAATAATAATAATAAGTACTTATTTATTATTCCGCTGCTTTGCTTAGTCCGTTTCAAATGTTATTGTTCGACGGTAAAACGAGAAACCGATATGCACGATATTATCATTTGTAGTTATTGCCGAATTTGTACTTTCATGTATTGAAATTTATATAGTCGTAAAATAAAAAGAGTAATAAGAATAAAAATAAGTATAATAAATAAGATATAAGCTGATCACGATGCTTCTTCACGTATTATATTTTTAGAAGAACGAAATGAGAATACTGATTACTTTAACGTTTATATGTTAAATAATAATTAATGTAAATGTAATTATGTAATTTACAAGCGATCCTGTGATTGTGTCTTAATTTTGTGTATATTTGTTGTTATAATTCTCTTCATAATATTCTTTTTGAACTGAATGCTTAATTCTGTTAAATGATAAATATACATACATATACTTTTATGTATACATATATTGCATATATATATTAGGTTTATTTAGATATTAGATTTATTTTGCTTTTTTTTTTAATCTTCAAAAATTGTTGCGCTTGAAACGAGATAAATATATATATTCGGGCGTCGGAGGGAAAGAGAAAGAGCAACATTCCGAGTGTAAAAAGTACAAGCCTCACGAACAGACCCACCGTTGGAACCCTAGTGGACCTTTAACCTAGTTTAGAGTAGAGTGCGATAATTGAAAGTAGAAGTCCGAAATGATCGAATCTTGCACGAAGAGGCGAATGTTGTTGGGCATTACATTTTTAGGAGGGTAAGATTTTTCACGTATTATCCGCATTGAATATCAAATAACGGATCAGCTGTAGACTCGAGCCGTTAAACGAAGCGTTTGCTTGGACGAAAGCTCTAACTTCTTTACTGTACAACTGCATTCCCTACAGATTAACAGTTTTAGCGCTAATTATTGAGAGCCATTGGACGAACAGCTCGAGCAAGGTGTACGTCGATAATTACGAGAACAATTCCTCCTGCGTCTCCGGCGAGGAGTACGAGGTGATATCCGAATGCCATCCGTGCACGGCGTTTGAAATTGCCAGCGAGAGCATCGGCGTCTGCGTCCACGCGAGGTATAAGGAAGTGGTGAAATGCAAGAGCGGTGAAACGATAACGAGAAGGTGGGGGGCACACCCTAACGAGATTTGTGCGTATACGTATATCTACTTGGCTCCACTATTCTCATCGTTATATTTACATTACAGCTGTGACAGAGTGGCTTGGCTGGAGGAAAGGGCATTCTGGAAGTTCGAGGGTTTCATGTTCGCCACGGCGATCATCTCCTGCATCGTCGTATATTGGCGGGAGAACATATTGAGACAGAGGATAATCCGAAAAGTAGCGAGACAACTGCGAATTAGCGTGTGAGTGCTGTGTGCGAGTTGAGAAAATTGCGCGGATAGAAGTGAGTTTTATATTTTTATATTTTTATCGCTTGTTCAAAGAAGAGACTAGAGGAGAGAGAGAGAGAGAGAGAAATGAGTGAGGTATATTTGGCGATATTTTCCATGGCGGACTTGTGCCTCGCTCCGATAGAAACGTTGGTAACTCTTTTCACTATAAAATATTGCGAGTCTTTAATTGGTATCAAGCTAATACCGAGCAAGCAGGACTTGACCGAGCGGGCGTACGCGATAGATCTCACGAATTTCGCTTACGAGATTGTGAATGTTAATGAAATACCGTATTATGCGAGCTCGTGCGAATTACCGAATGTCACCGTAAACGAGAGCAGCTGCATGGCTGGTTTGTGTACAGTATTAAGGCAGATTGTAAAGAGTTCGAGTACAGAATGTTCAACGCACGACTGTACCAAGTTATTAGGCTTCAAGGGTTCCTGCCTGATGGCTTGCTCCGAGGCGAGCGTGTGGACTAAGTTCTGCGAGATAGATTTAATTCTTACTCTAAAGTCTTTAGACCTGAAGGATTTAGAGAGATCCGAACTGCCCGTTAGCTTAGCCAGATTCGAATGCCACATGTCTCAGCCGGTTAAATTGCACAATTTGTACAAGTACACGATGTGCAAGAAGTTCGCCGCGCTCGATATATCTAGGCGGGATGAGACAGGTCTGCCGGAACATGCGTACGCGGAGGGCGCGTGTGTCACGTTATCCGACATAATTATATTTGTGTGTATGCACATCCTGTTAAACGCATTTTCGAGCCACACGATATCAAAGCTGGTGCCCTTGACAGTTAAGTGGTACGACAGAATGTTGGAGGATCAGTTTATAACAAAATGCCTAAGTTGTCTACCTTCGTCGAAGAGTCGTAATTCGGACGTACTCCAGTACACACTTCCAGTTGTAGTGAACGAGAGCCTGTACAAGAGCGATCCTAAACGGTACAAGCCGAGGAGCCGGATTTACACGAGGCAAGAGGACATAGAGCATTCGTTGCGGCTGATCGAGGACATGAAGATCACAGTGCAGCTTGACGTCGAACCGTTCGGCGTGGGAGTGAACCTCGACTGGTCCGACGTCCCTTTCGACGCCACGCCGGAGGGCGGTCTGTTGCCGCTCGCGCGGCTGCGGCGGAAGCAGGAGCAGCTGCAGAACCTGTGCAAACCCGTTCTGAAATTGGCGAAGGCCGGAGACACCATTGTAGATTTCTGCTCGGGCAGCGGCCACTTGGGGATACTGATAGCGTATTTCCTGCCACGCTGCACGGTTATTCTGCTGGAGAACAAGGAGGAGTCGCTGAACCGGGCCAAGGAGAGGGTGCGCAGGCTGAAGTTGACGAACGTGAAGTTTTGCCAGTGCAACTTGGATTACTTCAAGGGGGACTTCGACATCGGCACGTCGTTGCACGCCTGCGGCTTAGCGACCGACCTGGTGATTCAGCGTTGCATACGGAAGAACGCGATTTTCGTGAGCTGCCCCTGCTGCTACGGCTCGCTGCAGGACTGCCATCAGCTAACGTATCCGCGAAGCGATGTATTCAGGGGACGTGTCAACAACAAAGAATACTCATACCTGAGTCATGCGGCGGATCAAACGCATGACGAACTGAACGTTAAGACTAAACAAGGCTACAGATGTATGGCAATTATAGACACGGACAGAAAGCTGTTCGCCGAACAGTTTGGGTACAAAGTTTATCTCGCTAAATTAATTCCAGAAACGTGTACACTTAAGAATCATTTATTAGTTGGTCTACCAAAGGATAAGTTAACACATGGCGATTCATGTGACAATTAATTGCGTCCGCTGAATGACTTTTGCAAATAAATTTATATTGAGAACATTATTTACACTCAGTAATTTTAACTCGGTAATTCCTCGGCACCGACATCAATATGTAAACATTTTTTATTAAAATAGCAAAACCTATTATGTATAAAACACGTTAATTTATATGTAGTGTCTTTATAATTCCAATTTTTAATTTAATAAAAATTGATCGGAAAGGAAAAAAAAATACAATTTGCTTTTCTATTTTAATAATATCACAGAGAGAAATCTTGAGAGTGGACATGCCCGTGTTTTAAATAAAACCCATCCATTAGCGTCTCAATGCATGTATGTACATAGTGTAGCCACGTCTATGAATATTTCCAACAGATAACATACTGCATCTGGTTTTCGAGTCTGTCCCACAGTGTTTTGAAATGGTTTTCTATGAGAAATAAAACATGAAAGTACAGAAAATATAAGCTGGTTCGACAGTTTCTATGAACGTGGTACTCCCATCACTAAAAAAAAACTCGACTATGCTATAATGAAGTACTAATTTATTGCTAGTTTATTACTCTAGTCGCGAATTTATTGCTCTCATTTATTCACAAGAAATTAATATCAAAAGTGCTAACTTCATATTATGCTATAAGCATCTCCACTCTCAAAAAATACGTACAGAATACAGTAAAAAAAATATATATATATATATATATAGAAAAGTTTTTTTGTTACCTTTTGCTTTAAGACACTGCAAAGAATCATCGAAAATTTTGAATAATTTTTTACTCTTGTATGTGCGCATCGTCATACTCCTGATAAATTTCTTTGATTTAAACATAAAGATAGATATTTTAAGAACAAATATTCTAGAAACATTTTAAAGCTTATGGCTATAATTACTACACTATTGTTAAACCGGTTTTATAGAATGTATGTACATACTTGAGCTATTATATGCTTTCAAAATATTTAGCTTACATGTTTTATAGGCATTTACATCTAATTACAATAAGAGAACAATTTTAGTTAAGAAATGATGGAGTTAAAATCATACTAGTATAATATATAATATAATAAATTAAAAAGAAGCCAGCTAGTATAAAATTGCATTTGAAAAGATGTATACTTTTAGACTTCCATCAAGAAATATTTAAGACAACTTTATTATTATTATTATTATAAACAATTATATTTTGTATGTACATACATATAAGATATAGCATAAAATATAACCAAACAATATACATGACACAGAACAAAGTTGAAGACTGTGTTACTCGCCAGAAATATTCGTAATTTGAGAATGGACGTGATTTTCGAATGCACAATTTTTCGAGAATATAAAGCCAGCAATTTCGAAAGGTGGATGTAGCACGGACATGAACCGCAAATTATGTACCCGCGGTGCAGAGAAGTGAATGTTGCTATGTAGTTTACACCCACTTCTTCAGGGGGCGCTAGTGCACGAGGGTGACGAGTGCCTCACGACTGACGAGGGCATTTTGAGGTTACATTACAGGCAAACAACAATCGTTCGTGACGCACGTGGTTTAGAAAGCTACTAATTTACAACGATTGTTTTCCGCTATATTGTGATGTCGTTTTTTATAAGAAGTGGCGGTCGAGGAGGTGCACAGAAGCGTAAAGTAAGCTCTTCGATCGATCTTATTCTTTTTTCGAACTGTGTTGCGTTCTCTTCTGTTTAGAGGTTAAAATCACGTTTGCTTAGAACAGCACGATTATTTTGATTTTCCCTGAGCATTGTTAAATATTTGCATATTTCGTATCGACAATTTGTTTAAAAAGTTACAAAAAACGACACAAGATAGCAAAATATATAATAATTTTAACGTATTTGTAAAGTAACATTATTTTTGTCTTGTGTATAATTTAATATATCGATAACTATTAACGTTTTGTAATTTATAATTTTATTATACTAGCTTAATGGCCACTTTAGCAAGAAATCTACTGCTCAGTCTACGTCAAAACAATCAAAGAAATCAAAGAAATCCAAATTCAATGACAATGAGAGTATTGCCAGTACGGATGAAGAACTCGCAGAAGAAAATTTAGGGTAACAATAATCAAATACATCGCAATAAATATGTTAATCAATGTGTTATAAGATTTTGTATTTATAGAAATGAAGCACAAAATGAAACTGAGGAAGAGGAGGAAACTGCACAAGAAAAACGTTTGAGGCTTGCTAAGAAATATCTTCAAGAAATTGAAGAAGAAGGTACAAAATTCCAGCCAAGTGGTTTTGATTTGTTATTTTGAAAAGGGAGAAAGAAGTGGTTTTATATGTAATAAATTTATCTTCGATATTTTAGAAAAAGATAGAGCAGAATTTGAAGAAGGTGCGGTCGCAAGGAGATTACGCGAGGAATATTTGGAGGAGAAGGGCAGATTGAGGAAAACTGTAGCGATAAATTATGTTGGCCATAATGACCTTATAACATTGAGATGTAAAGAACATAAATCGTCTATTACCTGTATTTGTCTTTCTAGCGATGGCAATGTGTTGTATTCGGGATCAAAGGATGGTAGTTTAGTTAAGTGTAAGTTTACAAGTTTTATCTTTTAGATAAATTATATAGTTTTAAACATAATTGAAATAATTTTTTAAATATTCATTATTAAATTGTCAATTATTTATTAGGGTCGGTAAAGGAAAAGGTCAAATTGAAAGCCCTTAGAGGAAACAGAGGCAAGACGAAACCTGGAATGAAATCTATACGATGTTTAGCAATTAGCACAGATCACAAGTTTCTTGTAAGTTTAAATAAAATTTTTTGTTTTACTCTTTATAAAACAATTTGGCATAGAGAACAAGTTTTATTCTCATCGCAGGTAGTAGGAGATGGTGGATGTAAAGATATAAAAGTGTTCTCTGGCGATACTCTCGATCATATAAAGAATCTACAGGGTCACAGAGGTCCCGTGTCCGGACTGGTATTCCGTAAAAATACTCACACGTTATACTCCGCATCCGAAGATAGGAGTGTGAAAGTATGGAACCTAGACGATATGGCTTACGTTGAGTCTTTGTAAGTAACTTTGTAAATTTGATATCTCTTTTTACTTTATACATATATATATATATATATGTATATATATATATATATACTGAATTTATTTATTTTATTTTAAATTTCTGACTGTGCCGCTGTTCTCGCAGATTTGGGCATCAGAACGCCATCACGTCCATCGACGCGCTTTCACGAGAACGCGCTATCACGAGCGGTGGTTACGACGGGACTATTAGGATATGGAAAATAGTCGAGGAGTCGCAGTTAATATTTAATGGGCCCAACGCCGGCAATAGCATTGACGCGGTCAAGCTCATCAACGAAGAGAACTTCTTCAGCGGTGGAGACGACGGGCAGCTTTGCGTTTGGGGCTGTTTGAAGAAGAAGCCGCTGTGTTCGATACCGGAGGCGCACGGAAAGGACGAAACCAACGGCCAACCGATGTGGATTTCAAGTATTGCCACACTATTAAATACAGATTTAGTAGCGTCAGGTACATTATCATACTATATTCGCGTTTATGAATTGTGTATATTTTTCCGTTTTTATTTTTTGGTATTTAATTAGTCATTTATGATTTCTAGGATCGCGAGACGGTACGATCAAGTTGTGGCAATGCGGTGAGAACTTCAAATCCTTAACTTTGCTGTTCGAAGTTAAATTGACGGGTTTCATAAACGCGCTCGCGTTCACTCCCGATGGGAATCACCTTATTGCTGGTGTAGGTAATGAACATAGAAGTGGCAGTTGGTGGCGAATACCTGAAGCGAGGAATGCAGTTGTTGTTATACCACTAATGCGTAAGCAAAAGACAAATAAATAAATTTTATAGATCATATATATAAATTTACATCTGTATAAAATCAGAGTTACGTATTTTTTTTTTATAAATAGAAAATATGAAACGTTTTTCATTTTTAATTATATTTTTATAGTTAAAAATATCTTAAATAAAAAAAACAATTAAAATATTCATGAAAATATTTATAATTGCATTAAGTTGAGACGAAAGAACAAGACTGTGCGCTGCTCTTAGAAATCTATGCCCTCGACGACGATGGTTTTGATGTGAATGAAATGAAAGAAATATTGGTCCACAGTACAAGTATTTATTCTGTACAAAAGTTGAGTTATAAAATATTATGTCCCTATTTTAGGTCTTGTTTTAGTCTTGTATACCATGCCGTCTTGAGTACATTCGTATAATAACAATATCGCCGCATGGAACGCTCGCGCCCGTCCGGGAACGGGTCCTTCCGCGTCTTCATTTTATTCCCGACTCGACGCTCCGCAGGTTAAATATAACATTCTTCGCGAGACACAATCCCCGACCACCGTCGTCCGAACGTTCGCCAGCGTTCCGCTCGCGCGAATCTTGGACTCACCGTGTACATATAAACCAAACCGACTTTAATCCGCATATTTATTCGAGTCAACAAACAGTAGTACAGCGAGTGTACGCTACTTCTTGTGCATTCTTGCGATAAGTTTTCAAACGAGTGCGATATATAGGCCATCCTTAATTGGGGGCACACCACCCTTCCGTCGTGTCGTTTCTTTTTTCTTTTTTTTTTTAACCGAAGTCGTTCCGCGCTCTTTTTCTCTCTCTCTCCTTCTCTCCAGGCCGTGAGGGTGCTGTTCGGTGCGTTTTTCTTTTAAGGGTCCTCAAGCGACATCGTCTTCCGCAAAAATACGCTCGATTAAATCTCTCCCTGTTTCTCTCCAGGCCGGCATTAATTTTCGCGAAGCGGATTCTGTGGTAGGGATAGGGGGGAGGAGGCAGATTCGGCGGATCTTGTTCACTTCTCTTTTTTCCCGCCGCACATTTGGGTCTTTCTCTCTTTTTTTTTTTTTTTTTTAATTCTTCCCTCCATCCTTGCCTTGCTGTCTCATTTAATTGTTCGGCCTTTGACGCGGCTGATACGTGTGTAAATTGACGGCGCTCCGCGCGACAGGCGTGGCGCCTCTTCTCTTTTTCTCTCCTGCCTTTTGCTGTTCGCGCGCGCGGGGTCTTCGCGCTGATTGCCAGTCTCTTCTCTCCCTCGTAAATTCTCTCGCCTTGGAGACCAGCCAGATTTATCAAAGTATCAAAGAGTCGCCTTTAATCTAGGATCTAATAATAAATGAGCCTCGCGTTTGACAAAACCGCTTGAACCCGACGACGCTCTTTCCTCCGCGCGCGGAGAGCGGAGTTGGGCGGACGCGCGCGCTCCTCCGTTTTCCCCTCTGGTCGATAAATCACTATTATTATTCCGCTTGTCGCAACGAAATACGCTTTTTCCTTTCTAACACGGATCGGCCTGCGGCCGACGGATATTGTTGCGCTTTATTGCACGAAAGTCGAAAACGATCGTTTTATTGCTATCGGAAAATACTAATCTCGCCCAACTCCGTTCGACTCGATCGCGTCCCCCCGGACGGTTTTTCCCTCCGTCGCCGAGAAGACGCGACGGAAGAGTTGCAACGACCGCAGGGGAGGAAAGAGACGCGTCTTTGGTAATATGCAATTGACGCTCGTTGCATGCTATAGATATGGTGTTACTCCGAGAGGATGGTTAACATTCACATCCCGCCGTGTTAGCCTCGCGAAATTCGTCGTTTCGCAAAATACATATATACATATGTCAAATGCGCGTTGTAACGTAACCCCTCCAGGCAACCGAATTTTCGTCGGATAAATTCAACGCAAGGAAAGACTAAATCATTACGCGTTAAAAACGCGCAATTCTCACCGCGGTTACCTTATTTCTTGCTTACGATTGTGTGTACGATTTCTTACATAACAGTCTGAGAGACTTTTCACATATAGAAAAACACTTGAACGGTGCGATAACGATTTACGTTCGACTGATGTCAATTATACGCTAACACGAATAAAGCGAGTCTTGTGTTTGCCTGCCTCGTGTTTGTACAAAGCAAAATAGAAGGAGAAAGTAGCTTGCGTGTGCGGAGAATATCCACTGTCAATTATTGCTAATAAGCGAACCTAAAATTATCAAGACGATATCGCGATATCGCGCTTTTTTTTTAGTTTATCGATACAGCCATAATCCTTGGATGTAAAGAATATTGTATAGCCTTCGGCGGAAACGAATTGAGGCGGAAAAAATTCGTTGTTTATAAAACAGGATACTAGTAATACCTGTCGAAATCGTTGAAACGTGTTCTACTCTTTTATTTTTATTTTTCATTCTTCGGATGTACTGAAAATTATTGGTCTTTTTGTCTGGATCTTTTTTGTCTACATTGTTTCCGATTTTATCCGTCTTTTTTTTTCCTGCTGGCAACGTATTAAATATTGAATCGGAAATTGACGGTAATCGTTAAATATGGCAGTTTATTTCGGGAATTACTTTTCGAGATAGTCGTTTTGCTCGATTATATTTCATGCAATGTATATATACGTACGAATGAAAAATATATTAGATTTACACTATTAAAAAAAAATTATTTATGAGTTTTTGTATCAACAATGTTCTTTAGTTATAGATTTAGCAACAATATAGGAATATTAAATCGAAATATATTTTTTAGATGAAAATTCTTAGGCCACTCTTTTTTTATGGCGCGACATAATCAGGTCAGCTTTGAACGATTCAATTAAAACAGGAAGGGAGCGCGAATGTAGTAGAATTTAGGAACCAAGTGTCTTTTTACGTCGATGAAGCTTTTAACTGCGTCCGAGACCGATATGTATAGTTATTAACATCCTCGAATGTAAATCACGAGTGACAGAATGCGAAAGATCTCTTTTTTTTTTCATATATTATATAACGTAATGTCTCGTTTCAAAGAAATTGCTTTTCTCTTATTGCAATTAAACGCGCGATTAAAATAGAGAAGAACAGACTAGAATATACGTTTTACCGAAGTGATTAATCAGTTGTTGAATGTTGCTTGCCCGCGATTTATACGACGCAAGTGGAGTAGATCGCGCATATCTCGTGCATCAACCGTGTCTTTTGTACTAACAGCAGGATCGTATAAGTTAGGACGATCCGCTTTCCGACTTTAATGCAACTAAATTCACCGTAAGAATACAAGAGTACTACCAGCCAAGTGCAATCAGCCTTTATTAAATCGAAAGATAAATATCGCACGCGTTTTCCCTCTCGATCGCCGAAGCTATATGGAATTTCGGTTCGACGCTCGTCGCGGCAAACAGATTTCCGGGAGATTCGCTGAAAGCAGACGAAAGTCGAGATTTTTTTTGTTTTTAATGTGAAAAATCGACGCGATCGACACGCATTCCGACGACAAGACCGAACTCGGCGAGTTGCCCCCTGCCCTCCCACCCTCTATTCCGGACCGTCCTGTTCCTCCCGACTTTCCCGAGGAAACGGATGATTCGCGCGAGGTAACCGCGAAAGAAAATATACGATACACCTAGTCCTCCCCTTCCCGGCCCGACGCACGATACCTCTTCCATCTCTTCCATCCACTCTTTTTAAATTACTTTCGTTTGCCATCGATATATACTTCGCTATATATCGACATACATATAGAATATACCTACATAAATTGTGTAACACCGACGAGCCCGCGCTCCCTCGCGTAGGACCACGTACATCCTCTTGCGCCTCGCTTCTGCCCCCTCGTTCTTTCACGCATCCACGTCGCACGCCGTCGTTTTTACACGAACGCGGCTCTTTTAGATATACCGTGTGCTTCACCCTTACCTCCCACGCGCTTTTTCTTGTCCTTTCCCTTTCTCGCCCCTTCTATCCCATTCCTTCCCTCTCGTCCCCCTCCCCCTATATCACGCGTGTGCAATCTTTCTCGCGCAGTTTCCGCGATCGTCTCTCCCCGTATCTACTACGCGATGTGCGTAATATGCCTTGCGTCCGCTTGTCACGTTTGCCCTGTACACGAAAAAAAAAAACAATTCGTTTACGGTCATTTCCCCTTTTCCCCACGCGCTGCCTATTTGCGATCTCTTTCTCTCGGCGTTGATTATGGCGGTTCTCCTGTTTTCTTCCTTCTCTCTTTTTTTTTTTGCAACCGGCGGCTGCTCGTTTAAATACTATTTCGCTATAGTGGACTACCGTTATGAACGCTACGCTACTTTGTATTGTATCCTGTAATGCTTCGTAATGAACGACTGGTACTGAATGTGCATACTGGTGAACACACGCAATCTATAAGGTCCCGTTCCAAGGGTACCATACGCGGCGGCCGACGAGCCGCGCACGAAAACAACGACGAGCTCGTTAACGAGCCTCGTGCCTGATCATCGTAGAGCATCGCGGCGAGATTTTTAATTAATGTTCCAAATGTACGCAGCGCGCGCGGACGTCGCGTCTCATTAATCACGGAACGCGCCGCGGCTCGTCATACAGAACAATCGTCCGGTGCGATTGAAGAGTGTCGCAAAAACGGATCAGTCGCTATTAAAAACGCGCCGGACAGCCCCGATCGGAATTCGAAGCGAAATTGATTGAGATCTATACGGATCGATGTATATCGAGACCGGCGTCTCGAAAGGAAAGCTAAATAAAATATTATTTCATCTGCCGCTTTTTAGCGGAATTTTTTTCCCCCCTGATTAGTTATGTGTTAATTAAAATTTCTTTAGCCTTCTTCTGGCGACTCGAAACGAGTTTCTCGTCGTTTCGCGACAAAGTTTGTGCCGCGTATGCTAGCCGTGATGTCGAGAGTGTATGTATGGGTCCTGTACGCTCCGGTTACAAAATAATATATGCAACGTGAGAAATCACGATTCGGCTAAGTGTTGCTCCGCCCTTTCTCTCTCTCTTTCTCTCTGAGCCTGCTTTCCCGTTTAATTAGTACTCGCGTACTTCGGTTACGGAATAGTGTAATCGTAGTTTACAATTAACCGCTCTGCGTCCTCCGTCCTCCGTTAAAAATCTTAGACATCAACATACATTCACATTTTTTTTTATTTTTATAATAAACCGTTATTAGAAACCTATCTCGTATTCGCTATGCACTTTAATATAAATTTCATCGTGTTTACCGCTTATTTAATCCGTTTAATTTGTCTATTTACAGTGAACGCGCGTGTCTATTTCGAAATTCGCTTTATTTCCCCCTTTTAACTCTCTCGTTTAATTAATTAATTAATTCATTACAAAACCGCGCGGCCGTGTGGCTTGTCAGCGCGGCGGATATATTTTACCCCTCGATCTCGAGAAGAGAGAAACAAGTCTTTCTTATTTCTTCCTTTTTTTTTCGCCTTTTTTTCTTTTGACGCGTGAGAACGCGCGCGGCGTGCCCCTCTCGCTGCGGAGAGACAGCCGCGCGCGCGCGCGCGCGCGAGCCTCGCATCCTTTCTTGTTCTCTTGCACACGCACACGAGTGGATGATTACGTAAGTGAAGTGGCATTACCGAACGTAATAGCAGACGGGAACTCAGACCTCCTCGGGATGGACGTGAAGCGTATCCTGTTCTCGTTTTTCCCTTCTTTTTTTCTTTTCTTTCTTTTTTTTTTCTTTTAATCCTACCTCGGACGTTTATTTACACGCGTTTAAATTATCGCATCGACGGGTCCGCCGCGGATCGCGCGCGGACCGAAATATAGATCTGACTCGTTAATACAGGCGGCGCGTTCGAATCCTCTCGCGTTACACGCACGTTACATCTATTTACATACGTTTCTCTGAACAAACAAACCCACCGCAGATGCGTTCTCTCTATCTGCTGTTAAAAAAATACTTTTTCTTTTCCTCGTCGGGGCAGCAGGACGCCTCACGTCTCGCGGTCTGCGGCACGGGTCTCCGTGGGTTGTATAACGGTGCGCGGACGTGTGTGATGGATGGATGGATGGATGGATGACGGAAACGAAAAAGAGGGGATAGTAACAAAATAAAAAAAAGAGGGATGAGTTTGCAGTGAGCGACCTTGTCTATTTTCTATGTCGAATAATTCGAGTCTATATTATTGTTATAACGTATTCACTTATATCCGTTTCCGCGCGAATGAGTACCCAGCGTGATATCACACCGTGAATCCACACGTACACCCTCTCGTCCTTCGCGTGCGAAACGATCGATCGAGCGGCGTTCGTATTCCTTCGTTATCCTACGCCGGAACTTAAAGTAAATTCGATCTCCACTCGCGCGATCGACCGTCTCGTGACACTTTCACGATTTCCAATAATGCAACTGTGGTGCAACGAGCGAGCGCATCCGTGCGCAAAAAAGTGAAATCCGGTGGTTCCGTAAAACCGTTACGTATCTACGTGACAACCCTGGTGGTTGGAAAGTGCCGAAGTACTCTCGATATTCACAAATATTTATAGCTCAAATATTATAAATATCTAAAGAACTATCGAGATGCAACAATTAACATATATATTTATATACATGGATATCGCGGAAAGTTCGAGTCGTTTTTTCAGGAGATATTGCCCAGAAATCCCGGGGCTTCAACACGAGCGGGATTATGAAATTATCAGAAAAATGGCAAAAGATCATTGATCAAAACGGCCAATACCTCTTGAATAGACTCCTTTGTACAAAATTTCTGTTTCATTTTCAGGGAAAAAACGACACGAACTTTCGCGGTACCCATACAATATATTATTAATAAACTATGATTGAATAAAATATGATTGAAGATGAATACGATAATTACGATACCGCGATAATTGCATCAGCACATTTCAACCAGAGGTATCGGGAATAAATGTTCATATTATCTATAAATAAGTCACTAATCTGACAAGTTCCAAATAATGATTGTCTGCGAATACATATCTTACTTAACGTCGCTCATCTAAACGAGACATGTGAAGCTTCGAATCGATTGGAACCATGAAAGATTGCGTCAACCAGCTCTCGCTCGTCGCTAATTGCTGTTGCAGCAACAGAACAGAAGTAAAAAATACAAACCAATGACGGATGGCGCGTGACGCTCAGGCTTACAATACCGCTGCTGAACTTTCATTTATTCGCGAACGTATTGTTCTCCGCTGATTGCAGTGTATTCCGCTGCTCTCGTGATCGTAGACGACGAATGAACTACGAATGAACTTCCGAAAGCGAACTTTCGAGGCCCGATGTCGAGCGGTCTTCAACGTAAGGATTCTCATTTCGCTACTTAAAGATTCTGAATAGGGATGCCTTTTCTCTCTTTCTCTCATACACGCATACACGCAATCACGCAACCTCTCGTCTCTCGCTACGGTACTCATTTCTCGCGTAAATTCGTATTTACAATAATTCGTTAGTGCAGTCGCGCTCTCGCAATTGTATGTTTCCGTGGACACGAACGAAAATTTACTCACTGCTTCGTCTTTCGGCCCTTGCGTGCCGCGCGGCCACGCACGCACGCACGCACGCGTGGGCGTCACGCGAAAGGTGAATCCGCGAGTGTGTATGCATGAAACGTGTACACGCGCAAGTCTCTTTTTTCCCTGGCAATGTAAATAATAAATAGAATAATAAGAAAAAAGGGGAAACGTAGAAAAGGATCAATCAATAAATCGGAAACATGATCGAACTGATTAAACACCATATGTGTGTGTGAAAACAGAAACGTGAATTCGTGTACAATACTCTGGAACGAAATCAAGAACGAGGGAAACAACAAGGGATGAGGGGCGGGTGTTTAGCTCCGGGGGCTCGTTCGTGCCGCGATCACCGCTTCGCCCCCGGTGCCGGGCAGTACGTTAATTTGTTCGCTATTAAATTTGATATTTCACTAGCAAATATAGAATATCGAGTGTTGAATATTCGTTAGCGTTAATGATAGCGGATAATAAATATAATACAGATCTATAGATAGAAGTCTCAGTATGGTACAGCTATTATACAAATCTTGTCTTTTACTCGATTTCGCGCGACTCAGTCTCTCTCGCACAATTATTCTCTATTCTCGCTCGCTCGCATTTTCTTTTTCTACGCTACTTTCCTTACCCAAAACGGCTCGAATCAACGATACTATACGCTATCGTTGACTCGTGACAACGATGCAATTAGACCTGTTCGCAGTGGCAGAAATTCGCATAAGTTCGTGGCTCGTGTCGATTTGTTCGATGAGCACATATGCTCATATTATAGTCACATAATTCACACACATGCTCAATACTTTCTCTCTGATACATTCTCTCTCGCGCTCACTCTCTCTCTCTTCATCTTTTCATATTATAAGATTTACCTAGAAATACGGCACTCTTTCTTAAATCTCTCCACGGCTCCCTGTTGCCCGTCGGCATACGAGGCGAGGCCGCAAGAGCCACTTGTACATATTCATTAGGAATTTATTTACACGCGTGCTAACTATCCTATACTCGCGATCTCGCATGCGAACTCGAATGATCCTTCGTCCTCGGCGTCCTGCGATTGGCCGGGCGGCCGCGGCGATCGGCCCGAACTTTAAAACGCCGCGCGAGAGACACGATTAATCCCCAGACGATTCCTCCCTGACTCTTCGAGCCCTCCCCGCCCGCTACAGACCGTCTCGAATCATCGAGGAACTACGGCGCGCGTCGCGTCGACGCGACTTCGAGTGTCCAAGTATCTCCACGAGGGAGCCGCTCGCGATTGAGGATCGCGATCGCTCGCCGCCGGAGCTGTTTACCACCGCCTTGGCCGCGAACCGAAAGCATTCAAGGATTTTCAGGTACTCTTTTTCTCGGAGAGGCACGGCGCGCTCGCGGCGTGATCGCGCTCAGGACAAACTAATTTCCTTGCCGGCCCCGAGCGAGGACCCCTTAACGAAGGACCGTTCGTCGTCGATGGCCGAGCCCACGCGGTATTTTTTTTTTTTCCTTCAATTTAAGGATTCGCTCGAATCAATGACGTTATTCTCGCGTACATAGCCCTGCTATACTAATATATAATAGATGTCCTTCTCTCGCGTACACTTCTCGCTCTCGGTCGAGGATACTTAGCACGCTGCCACGACTCCCGCTCACATCTTTCTTTCTCTCTTTCTCTCATATTCGAATAAATACCTACAGTTAGCGTAATGATAAGAAGGACAACCAATACGACTACCATTTATAGTAGTGATAATAGTGGGCGTGTACTATAAGTAGTGTCTAGTAGTAGCGCTTCTTTTTCCGTCTTTTCCTATTTCCCGTCCTACCCTCGGCTTTCCTCGTCTTACGGTTTTTCTTCACCCTAAAACTTCGAGCTCCTAATTGTAGTTAATATGGCGTTGCCGCTCGTGTGTCGTGCATGTCTCTTCTTCTCTCGTTCTCGTCTCTTCATCTTCGTCTTTTTTTTCTCTCTCTCTCTCTTTCTCGTTCTCTTCTCGGTCTTCTCTACTATCTCTCGAGTCGGCGCGACCATGGATCGCGCGTGTCTCACTACGATCGAGGGACGGCCGAGGTACGCGCGTGTGTGTCTCGCGCGCCTCTCAAGAAATCAATTAAACGTAGGATAATCACAGAAGAAGGGGTTTCGACGCATGGGATATACGACGTTCTCGTACGTGGCCAGTACTGTCGCTTCACCGCAGCAGCTGCTGCAGCAACGCGCTCATCAGCAGGCTGCCTGTCGCCAGGATCAGGCTCTGCGCGTACCGGGCTTGCGTACGAGCGTACGAGCTTGCGCCGTTGTACGTCAGCTCCTCGTTCTTCACTACCTCGTTCGGATGGTCCGAATACTCCTCTGCGAAAACACAAAAGCAAAGCGATCATTAGCAAATTGATATAGGTTACACGACAGTGGAGTGTTAGGAAACACAGATTTAAGTTAACACGAGAGATGATCTTCTTAAAAATACAGGGATTGAAAAGCACAAGATGAAAAATAGAATATAATCTACATTTCACTTTTTTTTATATTGTACTCTATCTTTTTTACTCTATTTCTTTTTTAAGTAAACTCAAGCGATTGTATCGCGTGTGACTAAGGGTGTCCTTTTTCAACAATTACTTACTCTAAATTTTTTGGAGTGACGTTTCACTCTTTCGGAGTGAATCTCACTCCAAAAGAGTGAAAATCCTGCCACTCAAGTGGCAGAGTGGCAGTATTTTCAATCTTTTGGAGTGAGATTCACTCCAGAAAATTTAGAGAGTAATTAAATTTTTAAGAAGACCAATTAAATTTTTTTCAATCTCTTACACATATGTGTTTTAATCCGCGGCTACATCTCGAGGTGCTCCGCCGAGGATATCCGCGCGCGGACGTTCAAGTCGCATCTCAAATTTTAATGATTATTACCTCATGCGCGGAAGACGCGGCGAGAGGGGAACGAAATCCCCGGCAATTTCGTGTCGACACCTTGGGAACGTGTATCCCCTATCGTGCCGCGTCTCGGAAACACGGCACCGTTAATGGGCGAGCGGCTATCCGTGCGCGCGGCTTCGCTTATCGGCGAAAATGCAAATGCGCGCGTACGCGGCGCATTTAGAAGTCAAATTATATCGTAGACGTCGACGCGAGGAAGAAGGGCGCGCAGTGCCGGGCATCGACAGATGGCTTTCGTTCAGTTTTCATCCGATCGGATCTTGACATTGCGCCGCCTCTCTCTTTCTCGCCGACCTTCCACCTGGCCACCTATGCAAAGGCGCGCGCGTGTATTTACGGCGCGCATTTGCAACTAAATGTAGCGATTCGGCTCTTATCTTGCGACATAAACGCGACGTCAAATAAATATGCAAATCTGTCTCTCTTTACTTAAAAAGAAATATAAAATAATAATTTGCGATTAAACAGAAATGAGGAAATCTCGATGTCAGCCGTGAATTAAGGGGATAATGGGCTAGAACGAGCGCGGCAAGTGAGATAACTCGGAAGAATACAATTTGCAACTGGTAATAACTGACGGCGGGGTCTCGTATCATTACTATTTCTACTATAATTTACTCTGGATATGCCGCAGATAGGCTGGCATTATGTAGATAATAGAAGATACGTTCCGTTCGCTCGTCACAGAGCGAAGCTCAGGTGTGCGCATTAAGAGAAACCCGACGAGCAATTGCCAATGGCCTCGACTGTCAATTAACGTCGATTTGCAACGTGATCACATCAATAATTACCGCGACGTATCTCTACTTCTGAGCGCGTATACACACGTGCGACTTAATTACGCCAAGTGTCTCTTCGATCGAGCAAAAAAGGAATCGGCGACGGATTAATCCGACTTTCATAAACCGGCCGATGACTCTAGCGATTGCTGGATCGGTACTGGTGCCCGGCCGTCAGTACCACAAGTGACTCGGATCAAATACGAGGCACAAAAGCGAAGCCGCTCTGATGCGCGAGAAAGCGGGCTATACGAAACGATATTCCAGTCGGACGGACGAGGGCAGACAGATAGACGGACAGACGGGCAGCGTGCAACGGTGACGACGTGGATACGTACTGTTCTTCTTCTTCTGACCGGTCGAGGTCTTGGTCGGCGTGATCGAGGACGGCGGTCCATTGTGAATCGGCGGCAGCGGATGCACAGGGTAGACGGCCGGCGGGGGCACATGGGGCAGGGTCGGCGCCGCCGTGCCCGTCTGATGATGATCGTGATGATGATGAATGCTGCCCCCCGGGTAGAATCGATCTCCGCCCCTGTAGACGATCGGCGGCGGCGGCGGGGGCGGCACGCCGGCGGCTCCGCCGCCCAAAACCGCGGTGCTTGTCGAGCTGCTGCTGGGCACGGTGCTGCTGGTCACGGCTACGGCTGGAAAACGGTACGACACGGTGTTAGAGTGATTACGCGTCATCTCTGCTCGGCACCTCCGACTCGAGTCGCGAGCAGATGTCGAGGAACAATCGGTGACGATTAACGGCGCGAAGAACAAGTTAATTTTTACCCGGTTTATTGTTAGTAGAAAGGAGAATTCGTATGCCAAAATAGCAGCTTGAAGCATGACGGTTGAATATCTTATCGCTGATCTTGGAACTTAGAACGGCGGCGTTAGTTTTTCACCAACACTCATTCGGTTTCAATGCGATTGTAAACGTATTCTTAGGAAGGATCGTATGGCGTTAATTGCGTATGCTGATGTATATGTGTATGTTAACAAATAACTGTATATTTTTAAGAAAAGGATCTTATGTGCGATAGTTGATTGTATAAATGTTTACTTTAGGAAAAGCATTTAAAGAAAAAATACTTTTCAAGAAAGTAAACTAAAGTCTAATACTATTGTGCACAAAGGATTTATTTCTACGTCCATAAATATCTAAATTTTGCAGTGCAAAAAACAAGGTTTTTTTTAATCTCTAAAATAAACACACAGTTTAAAAAATACGAAGAAAATATCCTTAAATCGGCTTTAATGTAAGAAAGAAACGGATAAGTTTCAGAAGAAAATATCCTTAAATCGGCTTTAATGTGAAAAAGAAACGGATAAGTTTCAAAAACTACGATTAAATGCAGCGAGAGGCAACCTTCGTCATCTTCACACTTTCCCATCGCGAAGGCCCGCCGATAGTCGCCGCGTTATTCTGAGCGCACAACTCGGCGCTGTACCTGCTAACCCCTCGGAAATAAAACTCGCGGCCGAGGAGGTACGCGCACCCCCCCGGCGATATAATTGTATGGAAGTAGCCGCGCGCGAACTCTCGACGTCTACCGTGAACGCGAGGTCGGGTCTCGCCGTGGAATCTTCAATGCCCGAGACGCCAAGAAGAGAGAAGAGAGAGAGAGAGAGTTCAGAGTTCCTGGCCGGCAAAATAGCTGGTCATTATGGCGCATGAATCGTCTCTGCCGGGGCGCGGAGATGGCAGGAAGAGAAAAGGGGGACCAGGGGAGAGGCGAGAGGGGGATCGAAGGAGCGGGAGGACGCTTCGAGGATGCTTCGGAACGAATTGGGGAGAGAATAGCGGGGCGAAATGAAATGGTAGAATTTATTGTGCCCCGGGACACAGAATTGGTCTCCCCCCCCCCTCCTCCCCGCGGCCGCAACAAATGACGCACGGTGAGGATTATAATCGATAGGGATTATTTAAGAGAGAGGACGGCGGGAAGCGGACGACAGGAGGAGAGCCGAGGAGGCCCGAGAGGTGGATGTTAGGAGGACGAGGAAGGACGAGGAGGAAATGAGCTTCGAAAGGATGGCGAACGAACCGGCGAACAAACGAGTACACCGCCCGTTATGGTAGCCGTTCCACTCTCACGTAACTGATTACGGGATAATGAATTTATAGACCATTTCTGTGTGTTCCGTACCCCTGATTCCCTTTCCATACCTACGGTTTTTTTTTTCTCTCCCCCTCGGAGTGCGCGGGTATTTCGACGGAGATCTCGCGCGGAACGAGAAAGCGTGAAGAGTTAAGAGCCGCGCCGATTTACACGCAGAATGAAAAGGCGGTGTCCCTCGTGCAAACGACGGCTGTAATTTTAGATTATGATAATTGAGAAATTAGAATATAATTGCCGCGCGGATTCTGCCTTTCCATGGGAAGAAGAAGCCCCGGTGCGTTTCGGGGCTCACCGTTATCGCGGGCGGTGCGCGCGATGCGATGCAAATGAAGAAGCGCACGCGAGTGAACTCGCACAGCGAATCGTCACGCGAATTGCTCGCGCGAAGGATAAGTTTCGCCTCTCTTGGAGAACAAAGGAAATCCGTCCTCTCGAAACGAAATCTCTTCCGTTCGATATCCGAAGCATTCTTTTGGTGTCAAGAGGATTACTATTTAGTATTCCTGGTGCTTCAAAAGCGTTTCACAAATCAAAAGAATTCCGTTTCAATTGAAATTAGAGCAATCTTCCTGTTCGTAAATCACAGCTTTTGTACTAAATTCCGCGCAAATTCACGACGCTGTCTATTCTGAGTACTTACAGTTGTTACGCGATGTCGCCGACGAGGTCTCGGCATCGTTGCCGCAGCAGACCTTGAAGACGACCTTCATGTTGTGGCTGGTGCACCGTCCGCCGATGCGCCTGTGAAGATCGTCCTTGGACGAGGTGCTGATGAAGTAGTAATCGTGGCCCGGGAGGAACTCGAGGCCCCCGGGTTGCGGCGTGAACGGCCTGAACGTGATGGTGAAGTACATCGTTTTGCGCGGCTTGTCGCACACCGCTATTACCCGCGGACTCGGGTTCGTTATCCGACATGTCTCGTACTCCTCCTTGGACACCTGCAAAACGTCCAAGAGGAATACCTGCGGTCAGTCGCGACGGTATAATCGATCGGCGACGCGGGGTGACGGCGCGGATCGGGACGACACCGATCGCTGATTGACTACTGTGAAAGGTGCCATCTTAGCGTTTCCCCCTCCCCCTCCCCCCCCGGCGAACTGATTCCCGTGCTCTTCTGCTCGGAAGAGGGCTTCATTGTCGGAGCTAATCGTCGTGTAGGAAGAAGCGGCGGAGACAATGGGGACGGACGGATGGCGGAGAGCGGAGGGACAATCAAGTGGATCGAAACGATTAGGTCGCCGACGACGCAGGAATGGTCTTCGGGAGGTTTTGCTTTGCTCGAGAGGGCGGACACCACCGGAATGTTTGATGGCCACGTCCGTGAAAGTCAAGAATCTGCCGCGGCAGATCCGGAATTGGTTGTTATCTCGGCTGGACGAAAGTTTGTAAAAACGTATCAATCGGGAATGCCCTGTCAAATTTTCGTCTTGGTATCAGCTACAGTTTTTTTTTTTTTTTTTTATAAAAATTAACTTTAGCCAAGAATAATTACTTGGAAAAATTTATATGGCGAATAAAATTACTTGAAATAAGCGATAGAAGAATAATCAACTTTGGAAAGAACAAGAAATGAAATAATCTTTATAATCTTCATCCAAAGATAAGAGCATCGAGCTGAGATTAAAAATAGGGAAGGAGGTCGTGAGATTGGCCAATGCAGCTTGTAGATATATGGTTCAGTATTTCTTTCAGTTTATCGATAAATCTATACGTTTCGGTAGCTCGGTACGCTTGTTGAAGGGCGGATGTCGTTTTGGGGATATAATGGAAGCGGGTTAAAGAGAACCAGTTTCAAGTAGCAGCAGCTGTCTAAACATTGGCAGACTCCGATCGACAATTTTTTACGCCCCAATCTGACTGGTGTTGGCATGAACATCGCGCGTTATAATTTTAAATACGTTATTTAATAAAAATGCATCGAAGGGGAAGGTGTTGCCGTTGCGTCAGCTCGGCTATCGACATTAAGATAAATATTACAAAAAATCAACTTACGTTGTAGATGATGTACTTCTCAGCGTCGTCATCGACGTACGAGTCCGGCGGATACACAGGACATATTATATTGACTTGATCGTACTCGAACATTGCGTTGTTTTTGTTCACGTCAATTATATGATCTGTGTTGTCTATTCGAAATCTGTAACATAAAAACATAGATTAATTAGCAGAGATTAGCAAGATTTCCGATCAAAGGTGCAATTTCAATTTATCACACAAATATAAATCTATCTTATGCTTCTAACGTCAATAATAAGGCAAGCAAGAGTTTCACGATCTTGTACGGTGAATTCTCTTCTTATTCAAATATATTATCTATATTGGAGTAGATACATCTCTAAAAAAAAAAAGGATTATTATCGCAAACATTTGGAAATTATGCATAAAAAATTTCTACTCGCGATTTACTGAAAATTTTAAAGTCTCGGAAGCGTACAGCGAACGCTTCCCGCGGGAAGATCATATTTCTCGCAGACTATGGCGATGCAACGCATACCGCCGTTTCCGTGCGGCAAGTTCCAGGACTATCCGTGAAACATTCGCGAGATGCCGACGCCTCCGGTGGAGCGCGGGGCGGAGAGAAGCGAGAGAGAGACTATACGGAGAAGAGACCATGAGCGTCCCTACGGCCTGTCGGTAGCCAGGTCAGGAAAGGGAGAAAAAGAAAAGACTCGCCCTCGTAAGCACCCAACGTCAGATAGGCAGGCGCCCATGGTGTCGAAGTATCGCGCAAGTGTATACGTAACCGGCCCTTGTACAGGATGTCTCAGAAACGAACCCGCGATTTTCCCCAGCAACTTTCTCATCAACAAAGTGAAAATTAAAAAAAAAAACGATCGTTTTCTTTCTCCAGTGCCTCGTCGGCAATGACATCTGAATAATTTAATTTCAATAATCACCGCACGCCGAGGTAAAATTTAAACAAAATTAAAGAAAAGATCTAGTCATTCTAACTGGCAAGTTGAACGTTATTGACGCCTTCGCATTGAAGCGATCACGGTTTCGCTTGGCTTAGCACACTCTATCCGAGCTCAAACACCCTGTACATTTTACCCGCGTGCGGGTATGCGCTTAGCCTAGCGGCCGAGTATACGCGTGCACACATGCACGATCGCTCGCGCGCTCGCGAGCGAGCGTCACTGCATTATGTAGCGGCGGGTTCGCCGATGAGGATACTCGGGGAGGAGGATGGAAGGAACGAAAGGTCGGCGGATGAGCAGAGGAAGAAGAGGAGAAGGTGCAGAGAGAGAGATAGAGAGAAAAGAGGTGGCGGACGGTTCCTATATAACCGGTTCTTACCGCGAGCACTCTCGCACACGCTAATACGCGCTCCATAAGTCGAGGTGTACGCAACAGCCGACGTCTCTCCCTATTCCGCGCCGACCTATTTCGCATTCGCGGATCAGCGAAAACCGCGCCGTCATTCAATAAAATTATAAGTCGCAAAGAAATAAAGACCTCGCGTGTGCTCCATCAATATATTTATATATTTAATATTATATTATATTAATATTAGATACATACAATTTTATATTCATATACTTAATATTCTTTAAACAAATATTTATGTTTTTTATATATTTATCTGTAGATTTCTATGTATCAAATACTTATTGTTTATCTATTTTCAATCAATACATCTCCAGAGAAATATTTCTCTGCGCATACACGAAGATGTGCCTTGTTTCGTTGCCGGCGGTCTGTGATTTCGTCGAACGGTATCGCATATTTCACCGCGCGTTGCGCGCGGAACGTTGGGCGTTTTGCCGTTTTTCACTTACGCGAGCCATGCAACGATTCCTCGTTCGCCGGTTTACGCCGTTCGTAGACGCACGCATTCGCGTCGGATGTGCGTCCGTTTCTCGCGCCGTGCGTCACGGGCGCATCCGAGCCGCGAGATGTGGAGCTTTACACGGGTATAAACGTATTTATTCTCTGTCTCTCGCTCTTTCTCACGTGCGTTTTGCCTTCGCGATGGTAGCGCACACGTTCTTACGTGTTTAGAATTTATCCGAGAGTCGAGCAACTACACGTACACATTGCACGCACGGCAAAGCGTATGGATATTTTGCTTATTCTCCCATGCTGTCTCACGTGCGCGCCTCCGCGATTTCGTTACGGATCTCGTATGGATGATCTGAGCCGCAAATTATATTTATCTTTTTTCCATACGCACATTTAAGGTTTCATTATTAAAACTTAATAATGAAATGCCTGTTCAATATTAAAACCTTACGCTATATCTTATTACTTCGTATAGGATAGATAAATAAAATGACATTCTTTTGATGAGATTTAAATGAAATTTTTTAAATTCTCTTTAAGTCTTTAAATTCTGTCGAATTTATTTTATTCTATATTTTGTTAAGCTTGTTTTCCGGATAAAAATATAGGTATAACGAAACCGAATAATTTTGGATATTTTCTGTTCTCTGATCTGTAGCTACAGATTGTGATAAAATTGATATATTTTTCTTCTCGAACACATACATTTTATTGTAAAATTAAATTCTCCTTTTCGATATTAAAACCTTATGAGATACTTATTATTTCGTATAAAATTTGATCCAATTCAAATGAAATTTTCGAATAATCCTATTCGAAGCTTCGATTTATTCCGTTTTACATTTCGTTAAGCTTGTTTTTCTGATTATAAAAATATAGATATGACGAAACCGACAGTTTTGGATTTATTCCTTTCTATCCTCAGCTGCAGGATAAAGTGAATATCTTTTTCCCATGCGTATATTTTAGATTTTGTTATAAAAGCTTAATTCGCGTGCTCAAAACTAAAGCCTTATAGATAGATTTATTATTTTGTGTAATAGCAATTTGTATTTTGTAAAAAAAATAGATAAGTATAAAAATATTATTTTTTGGTAAGATTTAAATGAAATTTTTGAAATAATCCTATTCGAAGCTCTCCCGTTGAATTTATTTCGTTCTGCATTTCGTTAAGCTTGCTTTTTCTGATTATAAAACATACAGATACGACGAAACCGATATAACTTTGGATTTACTCCCGCCTGTTCTCAGCTACAGGATTACGATGAAGTGGGTCGACCGCAAATTTGTCAAACGGTACGATCCGCAAATTTGATATAAAGCTCCTCACGAGAGGAATAAGCGGTTCCTCGCGCGCGTGTATGGACCACGCTTGTCACGGGAGACACGCACGGCGACGATGCTCTGTTACAGAGGGAAACGCGGGCGTCGAATATACGCGTCCCGACGTTTCGGAGCGTTAACGGACAATCTCGTAAGTGGGCGTGTAAGGGCTCGAAAATTGGAAGGTAGGCCGGACCTCGGCCAAATTAACGTTTGGCGATAATATCCGCTCCCTCTCGCTCGTGTTTCCCTCTCTCTCTCTCTCTCTCTCCCTCTTCCGTTTTCTCCCCAGGGTATCCCCATCCGAGATCGGTCGAGTCCTGGATACTCTAAGGCCTAAGCGCAACAACGGCCCAAGAGCGTGCGCGCACGAGGACATCCCGAGAACACGCGTGTACGCCCGTGCATGTGCGTGCGTGTGTGTGAGCACGCGTGGGCGTATAGGACGTTTCGTACGCGGCGTGGCCATTCACGAATTTATTAGAGACCGTATATGTATACGTGGCAGCCTGAATTACTCGTGATAAAAACGCGCCGAATTCTCCTTTCGCCTCGACTCTCCCCCGAGAGCGAAGCAAGAGCAAGAGGTTTTCAGGTCGTCGTTGTCGTCGCTGTTCGCGGATAATGTACGCGGAGGAGGCGATACGAGCGAGAGCAGCTTTATCGCCATTTCCGCCGAAACAACGTAGCCTCAAACGTGTTCAACTTTTCGCTCCGCCCGCCCGTTCGTTCGTTCCTCTCCCTCTCTTTCTCTACGGTGGGATTTTTTATTCGTTCGATTATTGCCATCGACGGGTTAGGGACCTGGTGAGTGGCCCTCGTCGCGTCTTCCTCTTAATCGCGAAAAAGTTTGACGGTAATCCGGCCTTTTTCCACCGTCCCGCGCCGCTCGTCGCTCTTGGCGTTGGCGTTTCTTTTTTTTTTCCCCCTTCTTTCTCGAGCATCCCGGGCACCACGAGCTATAAAATAAGATCGCCATTCGTTCCTTCTCTCCTCCATTCTCCTCTTTTAGCCGCCACAAAGAACGGACTCTTCCATACGTACACGTCGGCCGGACGGTGTTATTGGTAGCCCCCGATGTGTGATTTAAAGGATCTCTTCCCCCTCCCTCCCCCTCCGGAAACGGTGTCATTTGCATATACCTACGTATTCGTAGGATCCCCTCGAGTACCCTCGTATTAATGTGATACCTCGCCTTCGGTTCTTAACAGTTCTTTTCTGGCCTTAGGTAAACACTCGGCATGAATATGTATGCCACCTCGCCGGTGACCCGTCCGAGATTCGAAAGTACTACGCAATGGACATCGAGTCCTGTTTCATAGACGCGCGTTTCTATATATATATATATATATATATATATATATTGTGATCACCATATAGTGGATCGTCTTAACGATATATTATTGAACGCGTGTATTATTCGGCGATTCTCTCCCTGATCGCCCCGGCGCGATTGCGACAGAGAATAACGGTGCGTCGAATAGTAAGGAAAACGTGATCGCCATCTCTCTATTGATGGAGGTGACTAAGTATGAGATATCGCTGACTTTCGGAACATTATTTACGATTTAATGCAGGATTATTGGTTTTAGCTCTATTCTCGAAGCTGGAGAGCTCCTTTTTAGACCGCGTTAAATAATAATCATATGCTAACCAGTTGTTAGTCACGCAGCTAAATCTTTACTTTAATATTTTTCTGATATTCGTAGCATGCAGCATGAATATAAAAGACATAAAAAAAATCGGACGATAAAGATAATCTAAATATATATTTATATTATGTATATTTAAAATAATGTGAATTAAAAAATAATTTTTTATAAGCCAAGCATAATTTTTAATATTGTATTATCACCGAGACATCTCTCGCGTGATCGGTCGAATACGATCGGGCAGCAATCTTCAAAGTGATTTCCGTGCGAGTGCAAAAGTGGATTTGGTCGCCGACACCGCGCCATAACACACTCCACCTCTGACTGTCTTCATTAATTCCCACCACTGTCTAGCCGACGCCAATCAACTACCAAGCGG